TATTATGTCCCCTTCATATAAGCAGATAAGCAGTGTTTGGTATTTCCTTGAGCTCTCTCAGCGATTCGGTTTTTTTCTCCTCAAAACGCCGTCCTTTCATAGGTCTCTTCAATCTTGGGAACAGGAAAAAGTCGCAGGGGGGGCAAATCTGGTGAATACGGTGGCTGAGGCATGATTAAAGCGTTGTTTTTGGCAAAAACAATACGAACAAGGGATGATGAGTGAGTAGGTACATTATCGTGAGGCAAAAATCATGAATTTTTTTTCCACAATACCACTACGCCACGGTAATCGAAGAAAACAATAAGCAAGATCGAACTGGGCGTGCTTTTTTGGTCTTGGCTTTCTTGAGATCATCCATTGGGATGACTGGACTTTGGTTTCGATGTCATAACAATATACGTTATGACCCTTTTAAGCAAATGTGGATTGCCTTTACCGTCATAACAATTTTTTTCATTTTCTCAACATTTTCATCGGTTGCTGGGGCGTCCAGAGGGAGTGTGGTCATTCACATCTTCTCGACCTTCTGTGATAAGCTTGTGCCACTTGTTAACATTTTTGTGACTCAGAGTACAATCACCGTATGCCACTGTCAGCATTTCATGTTTACAGAAAATTTGATGCAAATTCTTTGATGAATTTATTTCGATGGCAGAGAATCTCTGAACACGCAAAACACTTCAAACTTCTACATCAAACTAAACATACTAAACAGATGAAACTGTGAACATATATTCGAGACGTAACATAACAACATAAAAAAATCGCCAATCGCCTATAAGGAATCCTGTCCAATGAGGATGGTTCAAACGCATGGCACAACCAACACATGGTGGTGCCCTGAATTGGAACACCTCAGGAAGACAGCGAGAACGACCTTTAACAAGGCAAAACGTACAAGACTCGAAGAGGACTGGGTTATATATCAAGCCAACCTCAGAGAGTTCAAAAAAGTCTGCAGACGAAAACAAAGAGAAGCCTGGAGAGCCTATTGTGAGGCAGTCGAAGACTTTCCACTAGCTTCTAGGCTACAGAAGGCACTCTCAAATGACCACCATAAGACTATCGGCATCCTGACGAGGGAAAATGGCGACAAAGCCGCCAACCTCCAGGAGAGTGCTGAGATTCTTATGGAAACTCACTTCCCAGGTTCTGTCTTTCCTGGAACGGCGAACTGGACGGATGTACCAATAACACCCTCACAATATGACTGGCAATATGCTAGTACAGTAATTGATGAGGACAAAATAAGATGGGCTATATCGGGCTTTTCCCCCTTCAAGTCACCAGGGCCTGACGGTATAAGACCAGCCCTACTTAAGTGGGGACTGGACACTCTTATGCCACACCTGGTTGGAATATTCAGAGCCTCTCTAGCTCTGAGGTATATTCCCAGTAAGTGGAGAGAAGTAAGAGTAGTATTTATACCCAAACCAGGTAGGATGGACTACACCCTACCAAAAGCATTCCGACCAATTAGTCTCACATTGTTTTTCTTAAAAATCATGGAGAGGCTATGTGAGCGGTATATAAGAGATGAAGTACTTGTTAACAACCCACTTCATCCAAATCAGCATGCATATACCCCGGGAAGGTCTACTGATTCGGCCCTTCACCATGTGGTTGGCAGAATCGAGAGATCATTGGATAACAAAGAATCCACCCTAGATATTCCATTCATAGATATTGAGGGAGCGTTTGATAAAACAACCTTTCCAACAATTACCCAGCAACTACACTCCAGGAATGTACCCCTGGTAGTAGGAGAATGGATACTCCAGATGCTCTCTAGGATGTCCACAGGGAGGGGTCTTATCACCCCTTCTCTGGAACATAGTTCTGGATACCCTAATTAATCACCTTAACAAAAATGGATTCTACACAATTGCGTTAATGGTCATGGTACGATTGCACACGGCTGGTGTAAACCTAGAAGCGGGAAGCGCTTACTGCGCAACCTCTGCTGCAGGCAACAAGTGATGCAATTGAACCCAGGTTTGTGTTTAATAAACCCTACAAAATACAGATGGCTCAAAAACCAAAGAAGGCTCAGGATGTGGAGTGTACTCCAGATCACTAAGCCTAAGGATTAAGTGGGGAATGGGAAGAAATACCAGCGTGGTCCAAACAGAACTGGCTGGTATCTCAATCGCCACAAAAGAAATAACCAAGAAAAGAATTTCTGGCAGAAACATAAGAATCTGCACTGATAGCAGACAAGCACTATTAGCCTTGAACAGACACCGTGTTACTTGAGGGCTAGCACTAGAGTGCCACCAAGATTTAGCCAAAGCCTCGGTAGATAATAACATTATCCTGAGGTGGGTTAAAGGGCACGACAGGAGTAAAGGTAATCGCATTGCCGACTCTTTAGCCAAGGAAGCGGCTGGACTAAGAATTTTAGGACCTGAAGACTTCGACAATTGCGGAACTAGTCAAAAGTTACACCCATGCTCAATCTCTAAAGAGATGGGATGAAATCAAAGGATGTAATCTTGCCAGGATCACCTTGGGCGACCCTGGGAAGCTGGCGCCGAAGAAATATCTGGCGATGACCAGGAAAAATCTACGCCTTACAGTAGGTTTTCTGACTGGCCACTGTCAGCTAAGGAAACACCTACATAATATGGGGCTAGTGGACACACCTCTATGCAGGATGTGTGAACAGGAAGATGAGACTGTCAGGCATGTCCTGTGCGAGTGCCCGGAGTTATCGTCAATAAGAGAGTGTGTGTTCGGCGAGTCTTGGCCTACACCTGCCGATATAAAGGAGATGTCTCCCAGCGACCTGTCCACCTTCCTGGAAAGGACAGGATGGACGACGACCTAGGAGAACAACTCCTCGGGAGGATGTACAATGGGTCACATGTGGCCTAAGTGCGTGGGCTTACACTCACCCTCCCTACTCTACAGATACAGATGTAAGTACGTAGCCCGCGAAATTTGAACATTCACCTTATTTTTTGAACAGACCTCGTACCACTATACCCTTCCTATATTTCAAACCTGTGATAATTTCAAGTACGCACATTACCTACATTCAAACTGTGTTCCTAGAATTTTATACAGCCAGGAAATCGCTAACAAAACAAACTTGTTCTCGTTTTAAACACATAAATTTATGAGATGAAGTCATAGTAGATAACTAACTTTATTGAGAAAATAAATATCAATCTCAGTAACCTATAAGGATAACCAATTTCAGCATCAGTTTAAACAGAAAATGATTGAATGTCAATATTTCGGGAAAACTTCTGCTGATATTATTCTATACAGTGTCATCCCCAAAGTATGCACCATATGGGAAACTTATTTATTTAGGGTTTTTCGACAAAAAGTTATTCTTGATAAATGTTTGTGCATCCACGAAAACTAAGATTGCACCAACAGAATACAGTACAACACACGTAATACACAAGGAGCCTTCAAATATTTGATTTTGTGACAAGAGTAAAGTACTCTTATTTTGAAAAATCTCGGGAAATCTTATTTGAAAAATACATCTAGATTTGAAGTTGTGGCCATCTAAGTGAAGTTTTATTTTTTTACCCATTTTTTATGGGGACTATGAAAAAAAATGCTAAAACTATAAATAGACAGCATCCTGTATAGGATGATTCATTTTAAAAGCCTGTAATATTACGAATTACACAACTATGGTGTTAACCATGGTCAATTGTTTTGGAAAGTAAATTATTTTCAAAGTTTTTGGTGCAAAGTTATTTTTATTTTTTGTTAACACCGAAAATTACTCAAAATTATACAGTATTGTAACAAGAATTTAATATTCAATAATATCAAAGCACAAAACATCAAAATAAAATAGGCATTTCGGAACAAACCCTTTTCTGGAGATTCAACTTAAAACACTTATTTTAGACAAGAAAATCTCAAGGAAATCAATGAGTTTGTTCAGAAACACCTATTTTATTTTGATGTTATGTGCTTTGATATTATTTAATATTAAGTTCTAAATACGCTTGTCTCCTTAATATGATTGATTTTTATATTAAAATCATGTGATTGTAGCTACTTATTCATTTCACTAGCTAGCACTTGGCTAGTACATTTTACTTATACACATTTTATTACTATTGAGTGTATATCAGTACCATTTTATTGTTTTTAAAATTTCAACTTGTTTTACTTGTACAATGATTTTGTCGATAAGAACTATTTCTTCTGACATTGAAGCATATTTGATTGATTGATTGATTAACTGACATCGATTCGTGCTGATTTTTCTATTCAAAACTGAAATATATGGTTTCAATAAACAGTACGTTTCACATTACGAATATGATACATAGTAACTGATTCATGATTTTATGGGGGTTGACTCAGCAACGAAAAGAACAAATCATGTCTGATATTTAATGGTTAGATACAGTACATTTCAGAAACTGAACAAAAGAGGCATTATAAATAGAGGCTTGCAAATATATTCATGTTAGTACCGGATCTCGGTTCTCTGCATGCAGACTGAGACTGATAACACTACAATAGTGAAATGTCAAGCTTTGTTGAAAGCTCTCTCTTTCAAATAACGATTTTACATTAGCTGTCCTATTAAACAATAGCCGATATCTCTCACACGTTATTACAGACATGCCAGAATCAATTGAATGAATCAATACCACCTGCGAAAACAATCAATTTCACGAATTCAATGCCGTCAGAGTCATTCAAAGGGGAGGCCTTTGTGCACTCAAATATAATAAGAATAGAGAAGGTACTTGTGTCAAGGACCGCCACAAGACTGTAATAGCTACATTTTTATTTATATTTTCAAGGTACTGCTCGCCATTTTGTATTTATTATACACCTGTCAAGACATTCGGTACTGACACAGAAAACTAGATGTCCACAAGTCAGTGAAACTCATTAGCAATTAATCGCAGGATGCATAGACCAACACGTTTGTTTACACTCGTGAATTGCTTCAATTGTCTCGGTCCAAAAAGTAACCCACTGACGAAATTCAATCCCCGACTCACCTGCATAATCGAAGGATTCCGAGGCGTGGGACCTTCCGAGCAGGAGAAAACCACTGAACACTAGCCACACTAACATGTCTGTGTTTTAAATTCCTAAATAAAAATTCACCGAACACTTCTTTTCAGAGTACAGATCGGAATATCATAACGATGATATGAAACTATCTAGTCTTGAGTCACGGACGGTAAGTTTTTCTTTCGATTTTCGACAATCGGTCGAACGAAAGGCTGGTTTATGACGGCTCCGTCAGAGGTGCTGCTCGAAAATCGATGGTGGGAGTTCGAGGTTGGGTTCACGGTAGGGAAGAGGCGGCACTAAAAAACGGGGAGCGATGCACTTTTAGTAATACTTATAAGGACCATATTTTGACTGGAAACACTTTATTCAAAATATTTTAGAAAAGTTTTCAATAATTCGTTTGAGGATCTTCGTTTGATTCGTTCTACAGCATAACGGTTCCAAAAAGAAAAGTGTTAAAAAGTATCGAATGAATCTGTTAATGAAAACTTCAAATCGGTCATTCGACACTTTTCGAATCGGTCAATTGACACTTTTCAAATCGGTCGACACCGGTCGACGGAATCCATCAATCATAATATTTAATCAAAGATGTTTGAAAACTCAAAATCAAATCACGGCGAATCATAGTTAGAAAACCCGCATATATAAACTTATAAAATCAATAAAATCCTCATTACCGATGTAAATTTACTAACAGACCTAGGATTTTTTTCGATCAGTTAGAGCAGCTCACATTCAGACGGACTTTTAAACAAATGAGGTTATGAATTCAAAGTTTGTATGTAATATCATTCAAACTGCAATATTTTCAATATTATACTTCATTAGGGCTTCTGAATGAATATACAAAAAAATTATACTTGTATAGGTATATGTGTATGTAAGTATGTATATTCAGGCATTTCCCGGAAAGTTTTGGTATAATTATGACTATGCTTTTTTTGTGGTTCAGGAAACAGTGCAATTTTCACCAAAATGGGTTCAATAGTTTAGTTTAGAAGATATGAAGTAATACGTTTAATTTAATACTCATCATACCAGCGCTGGGTGAGTGTCAAACGAATAACATTTTAGAACCTTGGTGAAATCAAAATAACCGAAACCAAACTGGCCATTTAAATCTGCAAAGACAACTGAAAAATTGTTAATGAGATGGCCTGGCCATCCGATACGAAATAAAAGGTAATTTAAAAAAATCGACTTGAAAAAATTAACTAAAATGATGAATCAATATTTTTGTATATAATCGAAATCACTCAACAAAAATAAATCAAAAGTAGGTATGAAACAAATTAGTAACCTATATTACAATTATGGATCTATGGCTTTGATGGTACCGACCTCAAAAAAAATAGGTAGGCCCCTAATTTGTTTCATCCTTGCTTTTAATTTTCTTTTTTTGTTCAATATAGTTTATACATAGTGTCCCAAACTTAAGTCAACAGCCGATATCTCCGTCTAGAAAAATGAAACAAAGGCAGTTATAAAAAACGTCAGAATGCCTTTTGAAGTCATCTTTGAAATCGTTTTAACCATTACAATTCATAAGAAATCACACCCCAACTTTGTTTTTTCAAATGACAGATCCCTCAAATGTTAGAGTATTCGTGCCACTGTAATTATACACAACATTATTTTTATTTAGTGAATTCAGTTGGTAACGCGATGTTTTCGTCACGAGAAGAGTTGCAGATTTGAAATTAAGTCAGCTTGGAGTAACGTTGAAATGCTTCCTGGGAACATCGTCGACATCATGCTAACATTTCTTCAAGAAACTATCCTCTACTCCAGTTTTTGAAATGTCACCCCCATAAATTTACACCCAATTATTTGAGACTTTTGGTTTTTTATGTTGATATTGTTATAAACCACTCTCGAAATGTGGATCAAAGATTTCCACTCAAATGAATAATAACCTTATTAGCAACAAACATTCAGATGCACAATAGTGTCAGTTATCCACAATGGATCAAATGTCAGTTCATTTATTCCAGTACAGTTGATACACAATGAAATGAAGTTTATAACTTATAATGATACCTTTACCATTGACTCCAAACGAATAAGTTGCTTGTCTACACGGATAATCCCGAAGGAATTTTCGCAAGACACCTTGATTATATCATGAACGTTTTCCTCATCGTCATTTGCCATCACATATAAGTGTTCGTAAAGTGGAATCAGCACCAGCTAGAAATGAAGAACATTCATTGAATATTCTAGCATATGCTGAAATAAATCCACATATTTCAGTTTGAGTGCAGAAGAGCTTGGGGTTAGTAGCCTGGTGGTATTGTGGTGGGAAGGTAGATTGATGGGTTGATCTGGGTGGTTTGCTCCATTCACTCAATCGACCGGTGTGCGAACTGGTGGTTCGAACCGCATAACCGGACGATCGTCCAACCCGTGTTAGGAATCACACGTTGAAAGGTTAAACCTCGTTAGTTCTTAACTCGCGCAAGTTTCGACTTTTGAGAGTTGTCGTTCACAGGGGGGCGACAGCTGGTTAACAGAAAAACACAAACGCACATTACCGATCTGCAATCACATTGGACAGAAGAAATTAAAAACAAAATGGGGTGTGAACATGTTCATGGTGTGAACTTTACAATGGATACCTCATTGAACAATATTTTTAGACTGGTAGTTGATTTGGACTTCGACATTCAGATTTCCTGAACACATTTTTCGAACTATAAGAAGCTACCCACTATCCGGACATACAATGATAATATGATAACATTCTTTCCACAATTCGAACATGATTACCCTAAATTCCAAATGATGCCTACATATATAATAATAATAATAATAATAAATGTCTTTATTATTTACAACTAATAAGGTTCAACAGTTAATGAACAGGATGGACAAAAACATAAATAAGTTGAAAACAAAAGGAGAAGTTCAATTTTTATAACGATAAATCGTTAATAATTGCTCTTCCACTTAACCGCAAGAAGTCGCTGCGGTGTTATAAGAGCATTATTATAAAATAATACGTTCTACTGTAATCAAGGCATGGTATGATAAGGTTAATAATGAAATAGATCACTGAGTTTCAAATAAATATTTCTTGAATCCAATTTGAAATCGCTGTAGCCATCTAAAGTAAATGTATGCCAAATGTTTTCACTAGATTAGGAGGATCTCAAATATCGAATATGTCATGCATGCCATATCATAACACCAGTGATGATTGCATTTGTTTGCTTAGGGTCGAACATATTTTCTAGAGTTAGTGAAATTTTCTGTATTTTATGTAGATCAATAAAACTTGAGATTTTTTGTTGAAAAAAATCTGGTTAGCGCATTTCGATTATAAAAGACATTACCTCTCTGTATTTACAATGAATATTACTAGAGTTTTTTCCCAACACCAAACCATTATTTTGATACCTCAACACGTGTTTCGATCACCAAGTGATCATCTTCAGGAGGAAGATCAAACAAAACATACAGTATTATCCTCATTTATACCATATATACCTCTTCTAGGTATGTGCGTCTTGAGTTTCTTAAATTAATTGCACAATACATATATGCCTCATTTACTAGTCTTAAATTATTTTACAATATGTCATTATGTAATAGTCAGGTAAATCTAATAATTAAAATATTATTTTTACAGGCTATAGGTATTGGTCCACCATCGTTATTCATAATATTATTATGTTTACTTATTTCTACACTCTCATAGGCATCTAGATGCCTGTTGTTAACTTATCTAACTAATCTTGATGAACTGAAGTCTATGGAATGGTTTTGAACCAAAATATGATGGACGACTGCTGATTTTTCAGGTTTTCCATATTTTAAGTGTGCTAAGTGTTCCTTATATCTTATATTAATAGATATTTTAGTCTGTCCATTTGAATTTTGCATCGCAGTCCTTACATTTAATTTTGTAAATTCCAGACTTTTCCGAACTCTCGACTGTCTTTTGGATTTCCTAAAAGGCTCTGTAGTGTATGACTTATTTTAAAAACCACCTTTATACCAAGTTCCTTGAAAATCTTTCCAATGTTCTTTGTGTATTGGTGGTATGAAACTGAGATATATTTATTTTGGTTTCCATCGTTTTGACAAGTCGAGATTTCGTTCATTCTTAACCTAAACTTTTTCTTCCTTATTATAGCATCTACAATATCCCTCGAGAAACCGTTAATTGGCTTCTATTTCTCTATTGTACGTTTTACTTTTGTGAACCTCTCATTTGTAAGAGGAAAAGTCAAAAGACGATGCATTGGAAAATTCAGCCCAGCACGTTTGTGCTGTACACAGTGATGTGAACTGTCAGGAATATACCTGTACGTGCATGTTTTCTTTCTAAATACGTCGTATTCTAGCCCTCTATACTGACTCCTCATTACCAAAACGTCAAGAAATGGAAGTTGTCCTTTATTTTCAAACTCATACGTGAATTTTATTGAAGGCAATCTGTTATTTAAAAAGGAAACAGAGTCCCCAATATTCGATTTTTTGATATCGAATATCGCGAAAACATCATCCGCATACCTTAGCCATATCCTAGGAAAATACTTTGACTTTTCTTGGGTTTTCATTTCGAATGGCAGATTCAACGCTATATGGTTGTTCTCTTCGGGCAATGTACCGCGCTTTTTGTCAATTTTTTACGGTCGCCTTAATCGTCCTACCGAGAGGACTATTCGCAATGTGATGGGTGAATTTGAGTCCACGTAATTTCTGCTGTAAATGTAGCCGTTGTCTGTGTGTGCAGAAAATCCGAATCAGTCGATTTTGCTTCGCTCACAAGAAGTCGGCCTTTCGCAGACCACAACTTGGCGAATTTTGCGTCCTGAGTTGGGTTTGCAGCAGTACAAAATTCAACAGACCAAGGAACTGAAGGTAAAGGACCATAGACAATGAACGAACGTGTGTTCGCTGAATGGCTATGAAGTAGTTGGCAAGTGGCCCTAATTTTCTTAGAAAAATCATCTTCAGCGATGAGGCCTATTATTGGATGAATAGATACATGAACAAACAAAATTGTGGAATTTGGGTCGAATCTAATTTACATGAGATCCAAGAGCCTCCGATACACCCCAAAAAAGTCACTGTTTGGTGTGGATTTTGGGCTGGAGCTAAAATATGCTTATTCTAATAGTTTTGCTCTTTCAATTTACTAAACACACAGGGTTTCTTCGATTTACTTGCAATTTGGATGTTATCCGAAATTACCCCACCTATGCGGAGAAATTCGGACACTATTTATTTAAATAAAAGAAAACCCCGATTTGAAATATTCCATATATGAAGGAGGTACTAAAGAATTTACATTGATTTCTTCAATATTTTTTCACCTTCCATTTTTTGTAACTACCAAAATTTATCGGTTAGCTCAAAATCTGCTTCTCTCTCTTTTCTGAATTTTCTCAATATAAAAAAATACCAATGATTCACTTTTGCTTAACATTTCTTCATCATTATTAAAACTATTTTGAAAAGTTTTTATTTCTTCCGATGGTTATTCCAACTACTGTTTCAATTTCTTCATATCTAGGTACTTGATGAAAACGATAAAAATAAATGATTTAACATTTGTATTTTCTCTTTACGTTCCATCGTCCTGTCAAGCATTGAAGCCTCGATATGCTCACTTTACCAATGGAACATAAAATATACATTTGCCTAGCACTGGTTTTATCAATGGAAAACGCTATAAGTGTATCGGTGAATTACACACAGTAGAGTCCGAAAACCAAAGAACAACTGATAACAAGGAGTCGAAGAACCATAGGCCGACTGGAAACAGGTCAAACTTCAAACCAAAAAAAGGTTAGATCTCAATCTCGCTGAAGTGCCAAGCTGCATGTTGAAGACCGCTCGAAAGCGAGCAGGAGTAAACGGCATGGAGGTGCTAGCTTCTTCTTATAGCAATACTGTGGGGAAACTTCTAGCTTCGTGTAAATTCAAATGTTTTGAGTCCAAATACTCACAGAAGTTGTATTTCTATTATATAGATCTAATATTCTATATAAAATTGTATTTTTGTAGTGACTGACTACTGCTCAAGTCATAGTTTTTTATTTGATAATCAATTGACTTATAATCAAAATTCAACATACAAAGTGATGGAATTAAATCACATGAAATTAAAACAACGAAACACAAAAGTAAAAATTATAATTCTTCTTCCTCAATAATCCGGGCTCTTAACCCCGGGGAGGCATGAATCTCTGCAAACTCTTTTTTTTCGAAATATTCAAATTGGAACATAGCCCATAATTTTAATTCGATATGACCTTGAAATCGAATGACTTTCCCTAAACGCTAGCGCCACTTGTGTTTATCTGATAAACATTAATAAAAATCAGATTACAACCACAATTAATTATCTATAATGATACAATCCACTCCAATAATGGATTATCATCAATAATAAAAAAAGTATATGATAATACTTCCCAATCAATAATATAATAAAAACATTCCTTAAAAAGCATCTGTACTTTAAAAGGCTCTCTCTGTGAGAAATTGGAACTGAGAGAAATAACGATCCATTTCTAACGAGATACCGCTGTCTGTCTTCAGACGTAGTGTTTTGTGATATGATCAAGTATTACTTTTGTATTATAGTTTTTTTTAATGATTGTATATATTGTTTTTTTACCGTTTGACTCAGTTCTAATATTACCACTAGAAGTAAATTCTAGGTTTTCTCGGAAAATGGATGTTGGGGAACTTGAAATACCTTGGCTCCATCAAGGGAGGTCGCAAACACTCAAATTTATTTGCGAAATCATGTTGTTTAGTTAATGGCTTTTGCTTTCATTGAGGCGCATTAAGCCAATGTTGTTGAGTTTTTATTTTGCTCTGTAAGTAACACAGAACTCAAATCTAGATCGAAAAATGACGGTGAACGGCAACACTGTAATAATTTCAAATTTACGACGCCTTGCGGATAATGTCAAAATTAAAACCTATAAAGACGTCAATCGTCACTATTCCTTCATTTCTCCTTCTTTTGTTAAGCGACGTCGGTGCGTGAAGTTGCATAGTACAATTTACTTTCCTGGCATCCTGTGTTTGTAGATACTAGTAAAATGTCTCCGGTAATTATTTCAACATCCTTATATATTTTTAGTTGATAATATTAAACTTTCAATTGGTGTTTATTTTTCTTACCATGCTTAGGAATATTTTTATAAACTTTTTGACCAGTTTTTTAGAAAGTCACGTGTTCAAATACTATTTATTTTTGTGTGGTATTGATCTATGAACCAACCAATCTATTTCACAGATATTGTATAGATAATTTTCAGTATTTCGTTCGATGTGTTTCGTCAAACTCGATTTGTCTGGCTGAAACACAACTAACTTTGTTGTGGATTCCAGACAAAGGCCGCCGTTCCTGCTACCAAACCACAGGGAAAGAAACCCCAAATTCGCGGTAAAGGCCTGAAAAAGAAGAAGGTCGCCCTTAAATTTGTGATCGACTGCACACACCCAAGTGAAGATAGCATTTTGGATGTTGCAAATTTCGTAAGTACTTTTTCTAAAGCCTATTTCAAGTGGTATTTTTATTATTCATGAAACTTCCACAGTCCCAGCTCCACGTGAAATGTATTCCAATGTTCATAGTGGTGTTTAGTATTGTGGAGATCAAAGGTAGTGCTCGCTATGTTTACCGATTTGAACTATGATCACGTAAATACAAAGTACTCCAACAATTACGCTTTATTATAGTTTCCTAAGAGATTTATATTTTATCAACCTATGTTGAATTATGGTATAATTCTAAAGGTCTTCTGTGAACAGACAAGCACCAACTTATACACCTACTTTGTTGGATTGTCCCCCAATTATGAAACCTTACATAATAGTTGCAAGCTCATCAGTATGCATGTACTGCTTTTTTATTAACAATGATGTATGATCCATTCAATAGTAGCATAATTTTCAAAACCTGTTTTATATTTACTCAATTGTCTTCATGCACATGCAATTTTGTTTGTGCAAGCGAGAATGCATGAAAGCGTTCAGCTGATACAATTTTCAGTGAAGATTGCTAAGATATAGAACACAAAATTTGCAATGTGACACAATTCACTGAATATAAACTGCAAAGACTGAAGTTGAGATATTAGATATACCCAGAGTCTTGCAGTGTTAATCAAAGGCGCGTGGATGTCCAAAGTTGGGATTTGCAATGGACCAACTTTGGGAGACTCGTTTATCTTTGATATTCATCGACTGACTTGAGTTTTGTCGATTGCATAAGGGGAATATCATCGCCTCTACTGTCTTAGGATTGAGTATTCTGTTATATTTTATATATTAGAATATTACATGTATGTTTCATTAGACATATATGTAAAATGAAAAAATTATCTAGAGCCAAACCATAGAACTTTGTCACATATAAATGTATAACCATACCTCTCTTGTTCAATATTTTGTAATGTTGATAATGGTTTTCAATATAACACAATTATCTTGCCCAATTTATTGAGAGTCTTGTGTTGAAAATTCATATTATATTTTTTCAGGAAAGCTATTTGAAGGAGAGGATAAAGATTAATGGAAAAACTCAAAATTTTGCCGCTGGTAAAGGTAGTCAACATGTTGTGACTTTGGGAAGAGAGAAGGGAACAAAAGTAGTTGTCAATTCAGAAATTCCGTTTTCCAAAAGGTATGTACAAGTTTAGGTAACTAATAAATATAACTACTGCAGTCCCAGCTCCATTACATTTTCATTTCAATGGATTTAATGGTGTTTTATACTGCAGAGATCAAAGGCTGTGCTCGCTATGTTTACCGGATTCATAGCCGAGTAAATACAAAGTACTGCAACAGTCGATTTCAATGTCTATAATGAATTATCCTATTGGAAAATTTGTTTGATGTTAGGATGAACTATATATGTTCTCAAGTTCTTGAAAATGTTTTCTAAAGATGTATTTTTTTTATAGATACCTGAAATACCTTACAAAGAAATACCTGAAGAAGAATAATCTTCGTGATTGGTTGAGAGTTGTAGCATCTGGTAAAGATTCCTACGAACTTAGGTACTTCCAGATCAACAGCCAGGAAGATGATGATGAGGAAGATAATGAATAGAATAAAGTTTATGTATACTTTACATATTGAATAAAAGCTGATTGACTTGAGTGTCTTGTTTTGAATGTCCTGAAAGTATTATCTTGAAAACATTTCTGCAAAAATTTTCATATTTGATTTTAGTAAATTGCCTTTTAATTAGTTTAAAAAATTACAATTATTTTTTAAATATCGACTAAAAATGTGGGCAGTTAATGTAAAAGTGTAAGACAGTTGAAATACCATTTCTGCCTATATTTCAGATGAGGATCTGCAAGAAATTGGTTTTGAGATTGTTGTATCGGTATTTCTGAAACTGAATCAGACAGTACCTATGTGTTGCTGTTTTTGTCGAGTTTAAATGCTAGCAAATTCGGACTACTCAAAAATACCTTCATTTGCCATTCATGCAGAATACATTTCTTAAATACTGGGATGATTTGAAAAGATGTTTTTGTTGATGAAAATGCACAAATATAATTACATTACAACAGGGATTAATTGGTGGACTCGCCCTGAATTTGAGAACTTGATAAAAGTCCAACATTAGGGATTGTTGACTTTTGTGTTTTATACGTTGGGAGCTAAATGAACTGAAACTTCTAATTTTAAATTCTTAGGTATCCGGAATTGGAATACCTTTATTTATTACATAAAAGATTCGAATATAATTTGTTACGATTGACAGAATACCATGAAAAAAGATTTTCCCGTTACTCAGTATGAGATTAAAAAACTAGAGTGTAATCTTCATAAGGTCATTTTAATAATGCAGTCTTTCATCTTGAACCTTTATAATTCTATTAATCGACATTCATTTTTTGTAATCTCACGTCGGGAAGCATTATGAAAGTTACTCAAAAACGCTGAAAAATCGTACAATTGGAAAATTCCCAATTTGCAGATTATCATTTTTCCTAATTTTGAAGGGTTTCATTAGTAATACTACAGCGAAAATTGCGTGCACTAAAATTAAATAAAGAAAACAATGAAAAATATCTACTGTATTTTGAAACAAAGCCAAGTCTTATGAAATTCGTTTTTGGTATTATCGGCACCCTCTTCCACAAATGGGATATGCCAGGTTGTTCCATTTTTCTGAGATACTTGACTGAATTGAGGAGGAATCCTGAAAAATATTACATTACTAAGAGAAGAAATTTACTAACTCATCTTAATTGTAATTCAGAATTAAATATGTAAACTTCTCAATTCTATATAAAAGTGTTTTCAAATTACCTGAAAATGGGTTTATTACTGTTTTTGATAGTTATAAACTGGTATTGTCGCTGTGTCAACCACCTATTGAATAATATTTTATCTTTTGGGTTTTTCAAAAGGAACTTGTGACCCCTCATCAAATCTCTAGTAACGATAATAGTATCTTTTCCAGAATTTAGAGCACAGTACAGAAGATAGGGGTCATCTTGGGAAATATTTTGAGTAAGAAAAACTGTTGCATGTTCATTGATGTATCTCCAGTTGGTTCTCGGCCAGTTATTCATGTGGACTCTGCCAAGAACTAGAACATTTTTGTTCTGGTTAACGAAATGAGATACAACTGCAGCTACCTGAGAAATAAGTTCAAATATAAAACTGGAATATAAAATCTGAATCTTTATATTACCATTCCCGACAAGACTTGAGGAGGTTGTCTTGTTCCTGCAGTGTAAGCAACATTTAGACCATCTAGTACCACATCAAACTTTCCCATATCCTCGACAAATCTAGTAAACTTTTGCAATTCTTCTGGATTTGTTTTTACAAACACATCTTTGCCTATAATAACATTTTTGAAGAGTTTATCTTTCAAGTCATCAAATTCCTCATCCTTTAAGTCAAAGTAATCCAGTTTCTCAAGACAGTTTTTGCAAACTCCTTGGTAAGTTATCTAAAATCAAATTGATGTGTAAGTAACAGTAATGATCACGTTTGTAAGTATAATAATTATTTTCGAAAGAAATAAAATACTTACCTAGGTGCAAGAAAAAGTTCACCCAAATAGGACCTTCATAATCCGAAAAAAAAACTTATATTGAAAAACTCACATATAATTTACTTGATATTGATGCCACCAAAAATCATGGTCTTTTAGAGCATGTAAAGAGACAGTCTTTTTGTTCTAGTAATTTAATGACCCTCATTTAGGTGCATAATATTAACATAGATAGTTGGAAAACCTTAAGTGACAGATAGAAAATTGATTATCATCATTGCAGTGAAATCTATCTCATCTTCAAATTCACATCTTTGCTCTTTGTGTCTGCGTTTGTATTCGTTCATCTCAAAAATTGCCTAACCAATTTGAATGCAATTTTCATTATCGCATTGAGGTACGTTTCACGTAGTGTTTTCTTTATTTTGAATGGTTCAGGAATGAAAAAGTCAAACATTTACTGGAAAACAGTTGATTTTGCTAAAACGCTAAGATATTTATATTTGTGATTGGTTTTCGGGTTTTGCCGTGGTCTTCTTTGGTTATAATTTCCAAACGTTTCAACTGCGGCACGTGTCAATTTGAAGATGACTGCCGCAGTTGCAGTTAAAACGTTTGAAGATTATAACCAAAGAAGACCACGGCAAAACCCGGAACCCGTGAAAGCCTACATTCCTATATTACCATATTTATATTTTGTAAAATGATTTTCTAATGAATCGAAGATAGGAAAATTCATGAAAACGAGTTGCTGTTGGAAATCTTCGGAGAACCTAAAAACTAAAATCCACGTTAACGAAGTTTCTATATTCACAATAAGTGTTGAGAATAACTATCTTCAGCTTGAATACAAGAATTTTCTCAATGATTGGCAAAATTAAAAAAAAAAACATCAGGGTCAGGTCTCATTGAGTCACACCCAGTGGTGATCCAATTTTATAAATATTTCCCATTTTGCAGAAGAGTATAATAAATTAGTGATTTCCTTTGGGCCTCATAGGAAAAAATCCAGTATGTTCAAGTCCGAGGATCGGGCAATAGTAATGTCGTTTTTACAATGTTTCAATTTTCGAAAATCATTATATGTATAGTAGGTATGCCATACTTTTATTTCGGGAACATCAATAAATTGAAAAAAAATCTAAATTAATTTTAACATAAATTGTTGTTTTCTTCTACTCCTTTTTATTAACAGGGTTTTCAAAAAAATGTTCTGGGGAATAACCCCCTGAATGTTCACTGCATGTTTAATGAAATAACCTGTATATACACAAAAAAATTGGATTCCGAAACTAGAATTGAAGTCACCGTCACAGAGGCACTGTTCATTTTGTCATTCTCAAATACTTGTATCTCCAACAAAAGTGATGAAGAGCTCAATTCTGATTCAATTAAGGAATCTGTAATTTCCAGTACTTGGATCAAGCTTTTGCAAAAAAGGTACTGCCTGAAAAATTAATACATTTACTTGGCTTGGAGTAAAAAAATGAGCTGGTGCTTTTGTAATCCATTTCCAACATTTTCATAAGAACCTTAATAGAAACAAAGGGAGTAATTAAACCAAATATTTTCCTATAAATACAGTCAACTACATTAGCCAAAGTCTAGCAAAAAGTAGAGGCTAACAGTCTAGCAAAAATGAAACTTGGCTAACAGAGTAGTATACAAACAACAAACCTTTCTTAGTAAAAGTCGAGGGGGGTCTTTTTGATATATTTCAAAAAGTTTGTTTTATTTTGTAAAAAATTTATTGTAGTTCTTTACTGTCATGGTTTACATCAAATGAAAGGCCTATAAAAAACTGAAGAAAATGACACCAGTTTGAACTTTCTAGGTGAATTAATATCTGAGATTTTGAAGGAACAAAAGCAATGTCAAAATTATGATTTTTCACCTTTTTTATTTTGAATAACTTGAAAACAAAATGCTATATAAATCTGCAATTTAATATTTTTAATATTCTATGTGGTTAATACTAGTAAACCAAAAATTATACAACATAGTTGATTTGATTGAGTAAAGTAACCCTCGAAATGGGTTTAACCAAATTTTCTCATTTTCGGCAGTGATAACCCTGAAGATATAAAATTATGGAGTCTTATCATCAAAATATTTCAATGGGAAGGACTGGGTCAGCTAAATATTGTCAAAATTCACAACTAAACTACTCCCATATATGTGTACATTGCATTCTTAGATATGGTGGCAACTATCAAGTAAAATCCCTATGTTTTCAAATATGAATGAGTTATTCAGAATATGAATCCTACTTTTGGGTAATCCTTTTCTGTTCTCTTTTTCAAAATAATAATCAAACTCTAATAAATTGACTTACTGAAGTAAATTTGTTTCTGAAACCATCTCCTTTGCATAAATTCAAAATGACTTTGGCTGTTTCTTGATCACACATGTAGTCGCTCTCCTGAAAAAATGAAAATAACATTTCCAATTTCTCCATTAATTTTTCCTTTTTCTTCTGCTGTCTCAACGTACCAAGGTAAGTGAGGAAACATATACTTAGAGGAGTTCTATTATTTGCTAACATCTCATTCAATAGTTGCCAAGCCATATCTTCCTCTTCATTAACAAAAGCAGCAGATATCAAAGCACTATATGACGCTTGATTTGGGACTGTAGATATTTCAATTTCTTTCATTAGTTCTAAGCATTTTTTCCACTGACTGGTAAGACAGAGAGCTGTAACAGCATTTTCAAGGGTGAAAGAATCTAAAATTGGGAATTCTTCTCGTAGATCATTATAGTGTTTCAGAATCAATTCTTCTTGTTCCTTTGGACATCGTTTACCATCTTTGAGGTGTTGTTCGTTCATGTAGTAAAGTAATTTCAAATATTTACTTCTAGTTGCTACATTCCGCTTAATATTTTCTTGTTTGAGGAAGCTGATATAGGAGGACCCCAAATCATAGTTTCTCACAGAAGTACAATGTCCTAAAATCACAGCATCTACATTGTTGGCATTATATTGACCTCTGTTATATTCGTGGCTCATTATAGCTTGCCTCACATTGTGCCATTCTTGAATAGAATCTATTCGAATGTTTTTCATAACGTTTTCTACTATATTGAAATGAAACTTTTCTCTTGGCTGAAATTTAGCATTATTTCCCAAATATGAAGAATATCTATGAAGGCATTTTGAAAAAATGCTAAAAATCCTTTTATTAAACATGTCAAATATATATTCTGTACTGAACGAACGAAAATATTATACTCATCTCCTAAGGAAGTACAAAATTATATCAATTATATGTGATGCAGGACATAAAAGACAGCACACATAGGCCATACAAAAATTGGATCTTTTTCTATGGCCGAGTAGGACGTATGGAGATATTTGGTGTACTCTTTGCATATGGACGTATCAAAATATATAACAATAAATAAGATATAAATAACATAAACGTCATAAACATAAATATTATGTATATATGAAGTAACTAGGAGCTAATATTCAAACTAAGTATTCTGTGCTCAAATTCTTGTTTTGTTCTGTGTTCTGTGCTCCCGACCCAATGCAGAGCTTGAGAGAGAACATGGACATATCTTAGTTTAGAACAAAGATATGTTTAGTTTAGAACAAAGATATGTTTAGTTTAGAACAATAAGATATGTTTTGAAGTATTTCGATTTCAACAAGAACATTTGCCCTGAAAAGCTAAGAAAACTGCTTAATAAATTCACTGTAATATAAATTTTTCAATCCAAATGGAAATAAAATTTTCAACGCACACAAAATGATAAACATAGACTCGATGATAAACACCATATAGATTCACAAAAGTAGTTCAAAGAAATGAAACTTTCATACATTTGCACACATGACCTGGAATAATATTCAGTGTCATTACAATTCACATGTACCTTTCAATTTACATCATCAATTTGTAGAATAAGCAACATTGTACCGTTAAACTGCGATATTAACGGTATCTAACGTTTTTGAAAAAAGCAGCCTAAGTCATCATATTTCACTATACTCTTCTGTTATCGGAAAAAGCTAACTAATTATTAGCTCAATCCGCGTTACACTTTCCGACTGTCTCTACTACGTCGCGGTATTCATACCAGTGGATTGAGTCCTATTTATTAAATAGAAATCAAATTGTCAAGTCTACAGAATCTTCCTCATTAGAAACAATTAGATCTGGCGTTCCACAAGGGTCTGTCCTAGGTCCAGTTCTTTTTCTATTATATATAAATGATTTGACAAGTATACATATATCCGGTAGATTCACATTATTCGCCGATGATACTACCATCATCTGGCACAGTCCGTCTCTTTCTCTTTTAAAAATTGACTCAGGCTTAGAACTTTATTGTGTTTCTAATGTATGTACTATGCATGTGTGTGTGTCTGTTGGTGTGTGTGTACACACACCTTTTACTGATTTTAATATTTTATATGTATTATTTTGTACTATTTTTAAGCTTTGTAACCATGATTTATCATGTATACAATAAAGCATATTCTCTCTTTCTCTCTCTCTCTATTGCTATTTAACCCAATGGAGCTGATGGAATGACTGTCAGAAAGACAGGGCGTTCTAGAGCTTTCAAGAAGAGACACAAGACACAAGTGGGGCTGAACGTGACCTTGACTAAATCTCAGTCGAGCAGAGAAGATTCTGCCGGCTTTTTGTTTTCAGGGGATAATTTATAACAGTACTTATCCATAATAGCGGTTGAAGTAATACTTAGGCATAAAGTGCAACTTGTCTATTTTTGAATTGATGAAAAACTCACTTCAACAAAAACTGATGAAAAAAAAAGTGTTTACGCCTGAAGCTATGACGTCTTTATTACTTATTGCTAATAAAGCAGAATATAAAAATGACAGTACGAAATGGAGGTAGGTAAATAAATACAATGGTAAATAGTTATTTACTAGCACATACTCTACATATTAGAGCAACCTGAAGATGTGAGATTCATTGCTGTTCATATAAAAATTCTCATGACAGTGTCATTCATCATGGACTTTCATTCCTTATGGGTCAATCCTTACTTTAAAAAGGTTTTACAAAATCATTGATGTGTGTTTCACTTTCATTTCAAGTAGAAATGATGTGCATTGATATTGGGCAGTACCTTTTATAGAAAAAATTCCACAGTATACCGTACTGGTAAGTTTAATATGGATTTTCATCAAGTACCGTTCAGTTGTTTTCGATTACTCATAGCTCGAGGAATGGAACTCGTAGCAAATAATGTAATATTCTCATTAATATTTCTTTCAAATGGTAATTATTACCAAACAGTACGGCAAGATACTTTTTCAGTTTTGTTGAGATGACCAATCCTCAAAATGTTCATCCACTTTACTTCTACTACTTTCTTTGACATAGCCTTATTATTGATTATTTTTGGAAAAGTATACGCTTTCAAAGATTCGTTTTCCTTTATAGAAACCTCAATTATAAAGAGAAATCTATTTCAGTTTTCCCGGCGAAAAACAGCAGCTCTTGGATCACAATTTTCCGAAATCATTTCAGCTTCTTACTCTTGATAATTTACAAAATATTTTATCACTAGCCATACCAAGGCAGAAGCCGTAACTAGTATCTTGTCACCGAGCATTTCGGAGTACTGAAAATTAAATACCAAATATAAAAGTATATTAAATGAAATTACAATACAAACTGTAATCCATGATGACAATAGAAATGAATAAATAATCAATTAGAAGAAGAGAAATAAACAGAAAGGCGAACAGCACATCATTATTTACTATCAAAATATTGGTGAATTTTTATTCTGTCTGGTCAATCATCAAAATCAAATAAATAAACTGACATCACAGAACACGCCAGCAACAACACTGCCACAGAACACCTTAACTACACAAAACCGTAAGTGAAAAGCGGCACTCTGATCTTCAAGGGGCGATTTTTCGTGTCCTTCCCCCTCTCCTTAGTATTACATCTGTCACTTTTGTGAGCGGCAAATTTGAATTGAATGAAATTAATGTAGTTCTAAGTGTACCTACTTCCATTCGATTGGAAAATATATTCAGGGATTCCTTCTGAACTTACATATTTGTAAGTTTGGACGAAAATCCTGTATATTTGTCCTTACTTAACTTTCTATTCATAAAAAAATATTCGTGAATCTGAACTATTGCAACATAACTATATACAAAGGTTGTTATAAAACATAGAACATACCATATAATTCATACTATATAATTCAGTGTTCATATAGAAGTATTTGTTTCGAAAGAATTTTTTTTCTTCCGTGTAATTCAATTTTTATATGAAAGTAGCTTTCAGGTGGACTTTCTTTCAGTTTGTGTCTGAAAGTTACTTCTTCGCATGATCTACACATACATGTATAGAGTTACATATTTTCAAATTGGTTACTTCCTTCCTTTCTTTGGAAGATTTCCTCATCTTTTTTGTATCGAGATGGGGTAGTAGAAAGCCAAAAACTTTTTTCCAAATAGAATATACCACTGTTAAATATTTTATGATGACAAATAATACCTCATAGTGAACAAAAGCTTCGTCCGGGGGCACAGCGGTCTTGCTCGAGGCAATGCGACCACTCAAACTTTTTCATTCGCTTTTTTTTTTAACAAAAACACTTTTATTTTTTACTGGTCGCCTCCTTCTGGCGAGACCCTCGGATAAAAATAATAGTAATACACATGTTCATGTATTTTATAGAACTGACGACCTTGTTGAATACGTCGATATCCAGCCTAATTAGTGGAGTAGGGAGTCGCATGTTACTTTATTTTCAGCTTACATTCTTTGGACTTCACTCCGACCAGGACTTCCATGTGCATGCATTCTTTGAGGGTAGTCGTTATCGGCACAACCGTCCTCTGTCGCGATCGGAGAAAAGTCAGATAATGTTACTAATATAATGTTTGACTTGTAACTTCAGATATATAGAATTGAGCGTTTGTTAAATATATTTCACTCGGTTGTCTCTATGATCGTGTGGTCTCAAAACTGAATCTGTTAGTTCGGCTCCAGATTTTTTTAAACCGAAGATACCTACTTGTAGATGTCAAATTTTGCGCAAATTTGTTCGTCTGAGATTAATATAAATCTTGCTTTGGCTTCACTTTGATACAGTGAACTCTATATTATACTGTTTTGACGTACACTTGTTTTATCGTCCGTATTTGTGTTACACTTCTGTTACACACAAGGCTTGTCAAATTGAAGAAATGCGAAAGATAGCACAGACAACTATTTATTGTAGCTATTCGATACAAAGGTTTAACTTATTAGACATCTTACTTATACTAACTTATTTCCAAATTAATCAACCTGATGAGTTGAGCAGCTTAGTATGGTGGGACAACAATTCGGGGATGAAAGAACGTCATTGGTCAGACATCTTTACAGCCTACCCAATAGATGAGAAGATTCAAAAATACCAACCTTAAGTTCCTACAGCTAGACGTAAATATTCCTGAGAGTATTTGCTACTTAAGCCGATTGTAAGCCGATTATAGTTTTTATGAGGTTGAATATATGAAAAGTATGGTATACATTTTACTGCTTTTATAACACAGACTGAATCCATTTAATTAATTGGCAATACCTATATGTTGGCACCACCGCATTATAACCTCTGTGTATTCTGCATCTTTTTTTCTTTCTTGCGCTTTACCGCTTTATTGATTAAGCGGCGTTTGGCGTTGTTCTTGGTTTGGTGGCGTGTTGTTTGGGTATCATCCAAAAGTTTTGTCTAAAGTTCGTCAATACATCACTTAGGTTGGTTACCACGAATTATACTGTAAGAGAATTTGTGGTCACCTTTCAATCGATCAACAATATCCTGCTTTCACATATATTTTCCAGATAAAATAACCATGGATTCCTTCTTCATCCCTCCAGAGAATGTTATCGAACAACTGAAATGTTCCTTATGCGACAGTTTTCTCTCTGTATCTCCAGTAGCTCTCATTTCAGAAGATGGAAACCAATATAAGTGTGGTAGATGCAGTGCGATAAAGACTACTATTAACACTAGAGCTACGATATATGAACATCTTGCAAAGTTGATGACTTTTCCATGCAACTATAAAGACTGCGGGAAAAAAATTCCTTTTGTTGATATCAAAGACCATGAGAAAGTTTGTGAGCAACGCTCTGTTATTTGTCCCAAAGCGAACTGTTATGAATCCATAAAAGTTCAAAAAATTGCTCATCATTTTAAGGAGAAACATAGCGAAGTTTATCATACTAATATGTTTTGTATCAAAAACGTGTATGCTTACTATAACATTGATGTCCTGGAGAAAAATGGAAAGACATACATTAGCATTTTTGATTTCGATGATAATAATTTTGGATTAAGCATTTGCTCAACCGACCCTGCTGACAATTGTCAGTATGAAATAAAATTAAAATCAGATAAGAGTAATTTCTCTATTTCTATCACTAATCAGAATATTATTTTGTTCAATGAGAGAGAGCATTGTTTCAAATGTGTGAGTGGAAATTGCAAATCAAAGTTTCATGTTTATAAAGATAACAGGAAGGAAATTTCTAAGAGAATGACTACTAAAATAAATAGGGACAGTGTTAAGAGAATGTTTGGTCCTGGGCTGATAACTTACACTATCAATATTGTGGAAGAAGGTAAGTTTTCTGACTCAATTCACAACTTACAACTAGAAAGTCATATCTCATCACATGAAGGAAATATGGTTATTGAGGACTGTTTCCTTTCAACAAGGTTATACCTTATGAGCAACAAACCGATCTATTTGCTGAATTAGATTGAATAATTGTAATTTTATAAATTTTTTATGGAAAATAAAGAAAAAAATATATATATGTTTCGCCAAAGTATTGCGAAAATTTTAAATAATTGAAAAAAAATTATGCTCTATATTGATTTATAACTTTTATACAGTGTGTCAAGGACTCTATCAAGACAAGCAATAACTTCTCTGATATCAGATGTATTCAAATTAGATTTGGTTTGGTATATATAAATGGTGTGTGAAGAGGACAGTTTTTGCATATTTTTCACTTATAAATTAGCTTATGTTTTATTGTTAACTAGGAGCTTTTATATAGTGAAACACATGTTACCGTTTTATAAACTCAGATGAAAATCTTGCAATATTCATTTATTTAACATAAAAAATACAAAAGCAATATGAAAACTGATATAAAAGTATAAACAAAATAATACAATACAAATATATAGTGTTATGAACATATTTGAATAGGTACAATTTTACTTATGATGCACTGTTTGGAACCTTTGATGTAGTAATGAATATTACTGGAGTAACACGTGTTTCGATCACCAAGTGATCATCTTCAAAGAGGAAGATTAAAAAAGATAAAATTAATTTTAATTTTCCTCTTTGAAGATGATCACTTGGTGATCGAAAAACGTGTCACGGTGTTAAAAATAACGATTTGGTGTTGGGAAAAAACTCCAGTAATATTCAGGTACAATTTTAGTTGAAATCAAGCAAACCACTTATTTCGCTCTTGATAGCATTTGTCGAACAACTGAAAATATCTACATAAACAAAAACAACAAAATTTATTTAAATTTGTTTATATCAGCCAGTTCCATCATATTAAATTTTTTAATGGAACACCCTGTGTATTTCAGAAATTCGAAAAATTGCAGACCCACTAGCTATATGGATAATTTTTTACATTAAAACAAATACAAATATACAATAAGAATTCAAACCATTACAGTAATTCTAAAAGTAATAGAGAAACATAAGTTATGGGATTGAAAATGAACAGATAATGAAAATATTGTAAAGTTACAAACAATTCTGTGAGAATTGTGGATCAGAATGTGACATTTCTGAAAGTTTTTACACTTACTTCATTTTTATAATTCATTATAATTCAATACTATTTCATCTGTGATTGGAATGAAAATAAGTAAAATAAAAACATACATACTAAGGAAAAAACTGGATAATAATTTATTTATTTTGTCAAGTGTGTCACAGATATGATGCATAATTTAGTTATTTTTTATCAAGTCTTTGGAAAACAAAAACTCGTTTAGGTAATGACGTTGCCATTACTGGCATACACGAAACTTTTGCTTTACCTTTTACTTTGATAAAGTTGTCACAATGTGAATCGACAGGACGGTTGTAATTTTCTGGCATCACCCTAAGTCCTTAGATTAGTTTTTGAACAATATATTCACCTAGACACACTATTGAAGTTTAAAACCGAAGCCATTTTTGGTGAATCCGGAAAGTGAAAAATTGGTGAAAACTCTTCTCTTGACATATCATTTACATTACCAAATCCTTTTTTGATACATGTAATACTCTAGACTCTAGAACTTGTAACTTGTCTTATAGATTTGTTGACATCTGGTATAGAACTCGCCTTGGTGAATGATTGTGTAATTGATACAAATTAAAGTTTAAATACTAGATATGTTGTCAGATCTACATCATTTTATGCTCGAAAGCTGGGTATTTTTTCAGATATCTGAGGAATCTATCATTTTTAACATCCTAGCATCAGAACTCTAATAAGTAATAAATGATATTGTCCTTAGGATGTGACAATAACATTATTTTTTTGAAGAAGAATAACTAAGAAATCTATCTCGTAATCTAACCACAATCCATTTAGCTTCAAAAACAACTGACAATCACTCAACAGCGTTTATTAATAACAGCGATCTGACGTTAGAGTATCACAATTTGACTTCATGAACATGCTTTCAAGCTAACAAGAATGACAAAATCTCAAGTACATTTTACTATGTATTCTCAAAATTTTATCTCTGCTAAAATAACATAACACTGCCAGCCATGATATCTTGGACTGTGTTATGTAAATTGAGATTCATAGATATTGGTGTTACAAGACATGATACATTTTTTTTAGGTGAGAAATCAAAGGATAAAGATGATTCTAAGGTGGAGGTGAAAGATGCTATCATAAGAAAAGCCAAGAAAATTCTGCTTCAACTACTGGAATGCCCTTTTTGTAAGGAGTACATGAGCCCTCCCATCTACCAGTGTCTCACTGGTCACACTATGTGCAACACTTGCAAATCTTCATTAAGCAAATGTTCCACTTGTGATGCTGATATTGAGAAAACTCGAAACTACACCCTTGAAGAGTTATCAAAGAAGGTTGAATTGCCTCAGGGTGATGATAAAAAGCCCAAGATCGAAGGTGGTTTGAAAAGAAATTCTGAAGAAAATGATTCAGATACTCCAGCCAAAATTCAAAAGCATTAATTGAGTTTGATTTTTTCATTTTTTTTTAATTTCTATTAATGTTTGTCAGTGTATGTTTTATTAGTATATACTTATAATTTGGCCTTTGACGTTACATAAGGTTGACAAGAGTGTCAAGTGTTTTTTTTAGATAGTTTCAAATGATTTCTTAGAAATTTTGGTAAGTCTCTAGGTGGAAAAAAGTGCAAATTTGTTGAAAGACAATCTTTTCATTTCATTAAAAAATTTTATTCTATAGAGAACGAAAACGTAATTATTGATAAGAATGCTGTATCTTTCAATCAAGAATATTTTTCAAAAAAAAAAGAAAAATAAAAATTAGATCTAAAAAATGTTTTTCAATAGAAAATGCCTTAATCTTAGTTTTATGTTACATTGAGAACCTTTCATTGAAGTTTTGAATTAATATTTTGAAAGTAATGACCTTATTTCTGTGAATATTCTTTTTTGGATTGCACCTTCTTCATTTCTGTATAAAAAATGAGCACTCAATATAAGTTTGAGCAGTAATTTGAAATCAATTCTTTCCAAATGGCAATCTAAACTGAAGTGAAGTTGTCTTTCAAAACTAAGTTGGTGAGTGAAATAAGAAATTATAAATTATGCTCTCTGCGATTTACACTTGTCACAGATAATTTGGTCATAAACTTGGATTCGCATGAAGAAAGAACTAAGAAATTGATGGATGTAGCTGGTTTGATTGATGACCTATTTGTAGAAATTCATATTGAATATAGAAAATAACTTTTGTCTAATTCCTACTAAGTTTATTATTTGTTAGTAGAAATTAGACAAAACTTATTTTCTTTATTCTATAGCTGTAGCTGGTACTACATCATGGAAAATGGGAATTAAAACTTCCTATATTTTTATACTACTTGTATTTGTAACTAACATCACAAGTTTATTATATTAGTTTGGAAATGTCTTTGTAGGACAAAAGTACTGTAACGTTAGTTACAAATACAAGTGGTATAAAAACAGGAAGTATTTATTCCGATTTTCAATAAAGATATAAATATATATGATTTCATTGGAGCTAAAATTAATATTACATGCATAAAAGATGATTTTTGATTCAGATACTTCAAATGGACTGGAGATCTAGCAACTGGGTTAGGTGAATCAGAAAAATGGAAAAATTGTTTATAGTTTTATGAAAGTTTCAAATTTTATATCACCAACGTCACATAAACACCAACTAACTAAATCCTGTTTAGTCCTCTTAACAAACTACTGTTTCTGTTTTAAAATCTGTTTTCCATTAAACAGCTGTCGCCCCCATACGAACGACAACTCTCAGAAGTTGAGAAACTTGTGCGAGCTAAGCACTAACGAGGTCTAACCTTTTACCGTCTGATTCCTTCTCAAATATACTTTTAGGGAGTACTTTTTGAAAAAGTATTGCCAATTCAATGATAATCATTGATGAAAGTCTCCCCATATGAATTACAGAATAGTAGGTTCCCTTGAAAGTTATGTCCACCCCTCCTTAATGAAACATCATCTGTTAGCATTTCTTCACTGAGTAAACTGACAAATATATATTATTCACGCCTTTGACTAGAGTAATAGGGAAACTTGAAATTGTTGGTAGCACTTGTAGACTCTCGCGACAGTTGCAACTGGATTTCCTGAAACCATTAAAAAAAAAGCCAAGTATAAATATTAATTTTTTTTTCAATTTGTATACAAATTTATGAACACCTACAAGTTACCGACCAATAAGACTCTTCAGTGGTTTATATTACTCAGTAACGTTTCGGGGTGAACTTTTCAATTTGCCCTTTATTACAATTTGGCAGATTTTCTATTGATTTAGCTGTGTTTATTTTCATATGAGAAATAGATATATATANGTTCCTGACAGATATTTTTGAACGTTTGAACATTCTTAACAAGTCTTTGCAGGGGAACGAAACGCATATTTTTCAATTGACCAGTAAAGTTGAAGCATTCAAGAAGAAACTTATGCTTTGGGAAAAAAGTTTAAAGAATGGAGATTGTTCGATGTTTTCAACTTTGAATCAGTTTCTTAAAGAAAACGATCTTACTCTGAAAGAAGAAATGAAAACAATGTTGACTCAGCACTTGTCTAGAGTGCAAAGTTATTTTGAAGACTACCTGCCAAAAGATGAAATCAAAGCGCAGCAGTGGGTAAACGACCCTTTTCAAACTGAAATGCCTGAAAACTTCAGCAATGAAGAAGCAGAACAGCTAATTGACATTTCAACGGACTTGTCATTGAAATCAAAATTTCAGTCCCAATCCCTGTTTGAGTTTTGGAATGGTATTGATAACGAATTTCCACTGTTGAGCAAAAAGGCTTTGCGTGCAGTTATTCCATTTGCAAGTTCTTACCTTTGCGAGTGTGGTTTTTCCGCTGTTGCAGTGATAAAATCCAAGTATAGAGCAAAGCTTAACATTGAAAAGGAAATTCGGGTTGCTATATCAAAATTTACACCCAGGTACAATGAGCTTATAAAAGACAAACAAGCGCATCCGTCCCATTGAAGCAGAAACTTATGGACTTTGTTATTTATGTATAATATTTTTCAAGTTGGCATTTCATTTCTATTATAGAATTTTTTTTATAAAGGGAGTCGTGTTTTTCTTATGGTTGTTTTAAGTTAAGTTATTATTATTAAATTTTTTTGCAATAAATCAAGTACAATCCAACTTGTGTGTGTTTAATGATGTTTTTTACCATTGTAAGAACCAGGTAAACCTTGTGTGTTGTTGTTTTATAATAAAAATTTAATTATTGTAATGTAAGTGCAATGCAAAACGGATAAATTATACTAGGTGCGCCGCCAAGCCATGTCTGTACTCAAAGGGAGCCGTGGGCCAAAAAAGTTTGGGAACCTCTGTAATAAAGTGTTTTTTGTGGTTCTTGAAGATCGCATGCGTTTTATGTGCTAAATCTGGCAAAATTAGAAATTTAACAGGTGTCAGAGGCTTTTTCTGGCGCTCATGTATTCAAAACGTATTTGTCTGTGATTCAAATACATTGATTCTGGCTGGCGTTGAAAGGATGACTTCACATCAATTATGATTTGAAACGTATTCATGAATGCGTTCCATTAAACGATCTCACGACCGCAGTTTTTCACGTTCCACTTCCTTGCGACCGTTACTGTCGTAAATCAAGTGGAATGGATAATGGAACGTTTTGGGCGTCCTTGTAAACATCACAAATGACGAGGTTGAAAAAAATGCTGAGTAATTTGTCTTTTGTTACTCCGAGAAAAAATGAAGTTGAAGTTTTAATGAGATTATGTAAACGTCAACAACAAGTTTCAATAATTACAAGCTAACTTTATTTATATTGGGAAAGAAGTATAAATTATTAAATTGAGTTTGAATGTAACTACATTTGTAATATTAATGGAAACAAATGTATGCACCAATCCGATTCTGATTGAGAATAGAGAAAATTGAATAATTTGTTATTATTATTGAATTCGACATCTGACACAAATTAAATCATTTTATTCTGACGAATCTTATTATTAATGACGTCACTAAGAATCGTTTTTGAATACATGCTCGAATACGATTGAACGCCAGAAAACACCTTAGCTTGGTTTTGAAACGGAATTTACATCATTTTCTACTTTATTTTGATCCTTATATGATTCCAGGATTTTACCAAACCCATTGAATTTTCCTTTATGTACTTTCTTTTTTACCTTGGTAAATAAAAGACATTATTATTATAAGGCGTTTTCCGGCCTTTAGTCGTATTCGAGTGTGTATTCAAAAACGATTCGTAGTGACGTCATTAATAATAATAATAATGGAATGATTCAATTTGTGTCAGATGTCAAATTCAATAATGAAAACAAACTTTTTAATTTTCGCCAACCTCATTTAGAATCGGATTTGTGCATACAGCTTTATTTTATACATCCTTACAACGTATTTGATAAAAAGCTTTCAGCAATTTATAAACTATAATGATCAAAATAAAGCAGAATCTGACAACTGACGTGATGTAACGTCAAATTTTGTTTCAAAACAGTTCAAAACCAACATCAGTTTTGTATCATCATGAATACGTTTCAAATCCGTAAACATCCAAATTCACGACCGTATTCAGTTAGTGATGGAGTTTAATATTTTCTTTGTCATACACCGATCCAAACTTTAACGCAGATACGATTTTTCCCACCGGCCATGACTCAGTTGGTAGCTGTAAAAATATATCCTTTCAATTTAAACAAGATTCCTATGGCTGGGATTTAATTAAATAAGTGAATGAATGTTATTTACGTACTGTCATCGATGGCATGGGTGGATTCGTGGAGAAGTAGAAGACCAAAAACTTTCTTTCCCAAAAATACACATACTGATTCCACTGTTATGAAACTTCACTGGTAAACAAAACACGATCAACTTGACATTTTCAAGAAGCCAATTTTTAGAATGACAGTCCATAGTCAATCAGAACAACAGACGACCAATTCTTGTTTTAAACAGATTTGTTTATTTACTTCTCAATCTATACATGTCAAATCGTTGGCTGACACCGTCATCACAGAATGCTCATTTCCCTACTTTATCATTGCTGTCTCACCCAAAAAAAGTTGATGTGACAACATCGTGTACCATCCATACGCCATTGGAATTTTTAGACTGGCTTGTGAAAATTGATTTTAAAAATTTAATTTGAAGTTTTAATAATATTTTCTAATGGAAGAAACTGAGAGCAAGGTAGGGTAAATTTAAATAATAATTTTTGGTTTTCAGGTCACAAGTAAAATATAAATACCGCTAAACGTTGACACCATTCAGATAAAATAAAACATTAAATTATAACAGGTACCGGGAAATGAGGCTGCAGAAGTGGGTAAAGCTGGCAAATATTATGCCTCAATTGTTTAATTCCATAAGTTCATAATTGTGTATTTTTTTATGGAATCGCGATAGAAGATTCTTACACCATCATTTAACAAGTTATTAGAGCAGATAATATTTGTGAGGTTAGGATGAACATTTGTATTGTGACTCATTCCTGAGTTTATTTTCTTCGTTAATTTAATGGTCTCAGACTTGTCCGCTCTATATGAACAGCTCTTTTTCCGTTGTGTAATATACACTAAGGGAACTTATGCAATACTGAACTCCTTATTAATGCTTCTTTATTTCATATATTGCTTGCACGTCTTCCGACGGCAAACACACAAATGACTGAACTATTACTACACAAATCCTATACGTCCACACACTTCAAAGAGGAAAAGGAAATTCTTGGATTTATTCCATGTTCCAATATTGCAAATCTTACAGATACATGTAACTTTTTCAAAATCACCGGAAATGCAATACTTTTCTTGATGCACATTTCATCAACCAAGTTGTATGGGTAACAATGTATAGGTACTTGCTAGTTTGAAAACAGGCCCCTTTTTTTAACTAGGTTCTGTATTCAATTCATGACTCTATTGAATTTTTAATTTCTTACTAATATCAGTTGTTTTTTTTTTGAGGGATTCGGAGTAAATTATACACAGGTATTTTTTATGCCATTTATACATTGTTGATCTGACTTCGGAATAGAAAAGTTGATCTGGTATATGTACATTAAAGTCTTATTTATAAGTTACCATGTACACACATTCTCAACTACAAATTATGATAGTTATTCGGATACGCAGCTTGAGCTTTAGAGAAAAATATATTTGACTTACTCAGTTTTGTCTGCTGATCACGAGTCTGAAGTCAAAATGAGGTACTCCAGTTAAATTTCGGAGATACAGACATCCAAAAGTTCAAACTTTTGAAAAATCGTCTATTTCCTGAAACCGCTTCTGGTAATGAAAATAAGTAAAATGGCATCTTATATTCACTACTGACCTTTATTCACCTATCTTGAATGTTATCAATAAAAAAAAATTCACCAAATTATTCCATTTTTAGAATGATGTGAATGATATTTTCACTTCAATAGAGCATTTGTTACTATTTGTTGGCAATATCTTGAGAAATCAAAGTGAAAAAATGCAAATAATCATAAAAAATTTAAAAATTTGTCAATACTATAAAAGGCTGAAAAATTATTTTCAATTTTTTCTTGAAGCATTTCATGATTGTCAACTGTGGTTTTATGTCTGTACCCAATATATGACCAAACTTATTGACACATTTTATGTATCCTGATGATGCCCAGGAAATCAAACAATATTGAAGGGTTGACTGCATCATGCCATGGCAAAGGGAGTTAATACAATTATTGAAACTTTGACTCTTATATTTTGAATTGCATACAAAAAGTGACAAATTTGGAAAAAAATATGTGCACGGAGTTTCCAAGTGAGTTTTCGTATTGGTGAATAAATATGTGTTATTGATGTGTAAATAAGACACAGAATTTCTTGAATTGCATGTAACTAGTTTTTGTTGTTTGTGATAATCACTAAATTACTGTCATGCTTTTATGGCAGTTGACAACAAGTTGTTTGAATTGATTTTGTGAAATGATGAAGTTTATGTCATTTACATATTTCAACATGCCATCATTTACATATTTCAACATCCCATCATCTGAAATATATATTCTTTTAATAGCGTCTATGAAAATTAAATAAGTACAGAATCTCGGGGTACTCCTACAGTACATTTTATTGAATCAGATTATTTCATTCTCTTTTATGAATCACTTAGGTTTAGTACCTGTACTTGAAATAGCATCAATTTTTAATACTTTCTCAATATCACCATTTCAGATGGACGTCTCTGACGAAGTTTCTAATGAGGTTCCCATTGAGAATGAAGTTCCTATCAAGGATGAAGTTTGTGTCAAGAATGAAGTTCTCAATGAAGTTGATGAGAAAGCTAATGATACCATGTCTGACAAAGAATTCAAAGAAGATCATGTCAAGTTAGATGACAAAGTTAGTGATAAAATTGCCGACAAAGTTAGTGATGAAATTGCCGACAAAGTTAGTGATGAAATTGTCGACAAAGTTAATGACACACTTTCTGACAAAGTTTCTGCTGATGCTGAAGCTCTCGAGAAACTTACTGATGAAGCTTCCAAACCAGATTTGAGCACCAACTTGGTCTTGACAGAGGATATTGTAAAATTATTGAAGTGTTCACTTTGCAATCAGTACCTTTCCTACCCTCCAGTGTACATCATATCCGAGGTAGATGCAAAATATAAATGTGGCAGATGTACAATTTACACTCGTTTCAAAATGAGAGCTGTTATGTATGAGAATTTGGCAAAATTCATGAAATTCCCTTGCATTTATAAGGGTTGTCCCTTAAAAATAGAGTGGGAAGAGGTGAGAGAACATGAGAGAAATTGTAAGTATCGTACGTTGATATGCATAGCACCAGATTGCGTTGAACATGTAATGTACGATAAGTTTGCTGCCCATTTCAAAGAGAAACACATTAAATTTTTCCAGACAAACACAATGATTCGTGAAAACGTACACACCAAGACTGGCATGGTCGTTTTAGAAAAGGAAGATAAATGCTACGTGGTATTCTTTGATAACGACGTAGACAGATTCAGAATTTCTGTGTGTTCATTTGGTACTGCTGATAAGCAGTTTGAAATGGTGTTTGGCTCGAAAGAAAAACCACATTCCATTATTGTTTCTGAGCAGAACATAGTTCCTTTCAATGAAAAAGTGCATTGCTACAAATGCTTGTTAGGAGAGTGCAAATATAACTTTCACATCTACAGGAATAACAGGAAAGGTATACTGAAACATGTTCATACCAAAATCGATAGAGAAATGATCAAACGTACATTTGGTGGAAGCACCGTCACCTGTACTGTAAATGTTGTTGATGAGAAAATTGAAGCTGAAGATGAATTGGATGAACTCCTAATGGGTAAAGATGTTATTATAGATGAGGTGAATGATGATGAAGAAGTAGAGAAGGTTGTCAAGGAAGAAGAGAATTCTGCTCTCAGCAACATGCTGAAATGCCCCAGTTGTGAAGAACAGATGGCACCGCCTATTTACGAATGCTTATCTGGACATACAATGTGCAACAGCTGCAAAGTTAAATCAGAGAAGTGTTCTTCTTGCGAAGCTCAAATAGAGAATACTAGAAACTACATATTGGAAGAGGTTTGTCTTTTACTATTTCAATTGTTTTAAATGTACTGTTTTTTTTTAGAAAAGACTGCAGCCTCCCGGAATTATTTATTTTTTTCCCTGTACTAGGTTAAGAAGGCCCTTTATTGGATCTTCGTCACATTCTTCTGGAAAACATTTAGGTCCAAGTTTGGGTTGTCCATAAATTACTTACCTTGTGTCATCCAGTGCCTCATATTTGCATGAAACATGACGAGATATCTCTGTTCTTTTGTTGTACAGCCTGCTGCTAAAGTATTTTTTTATTAAGGTTTCTGAATGAACAATGTCTAGTAACCTTGTAATTATTCTGAACCAATTCTTGCTGGGTTAAAGCAGTTCTTCCAATTTTTTTAGACGATCTCTTTAAAGTTTTTTTCTTGCTTCTTCAAGTGTATTTTCCTGATACCCTGTTATTTATCAAACTATTTCCTGTACCATAGATTTTGGTACCCCCGCAATTTGGTTCTTATAGCACGAAGATGCCTCAAAAAACATTTTGAAGATGTACACTTCAAAATATAACTTAAATTTTAAGAATGTCCCTAATTTATGCAATAATGTCCTAAGACGTGTCGAAAATATCTTTTGTTACAAATATCTGCGATATCTTTGAAAGACATCTTCAATATATCTTTGAATGACATATGTAAGATATATTTTGAATGCACTTTTGACTTATAATTTGAAATCATCTGAAGATGTCAGTAATTGATATATTTGAGATGTCTCTTCGGGGAATTTTACAGGAATAAAAATATTTGTTATTTTTTAGAAGCATTTTAATGTAGGTGACTTATGTTTTGGTTACAGTAAAAGGATTAATTTGCATTATTCTTTTATGGGTCAAAAGCTTTTCATATCCATAACTGAATCGAAGATTCTCTTTCATTTTTTTGTGCAATTCGTGGCTGCTGTTGCGTATTCGAAGAAAAGTAAAAACTTACTTGGGCAAGTTACAAAAATGAACCATATCATTTTAAAAACAGTAAAGAAGCATTTTATATTGATAATATCTGCAAATTAACTAGAATCAAATATAAACAGGTATCTCTTCAAAGTTATCCAAAAATGATCGATAAATGATAACATTATCTTTATTGTAATTCAATATAACATACTTGAAGTTTTATATCAATATCAAAAGTTTTAAGGCACAAAAAAGTAATAAATGAATTACCACATAACAGACGTTTGAGATAACTAACACGAGAAACAATTGAGAAGATTGGGATCTTCTCTCAATAGTTTTCATGAATCTTGAGTCCTATATTTCAAATATTTGTTTTCCACACGAGAAACAATTGGGAAGATTGGGATCTTCTCTCAATAGTTTTCATGAATCTTGAGTCCTATATTTCAAATATTTGTTTTCCACCCAACTGAAATAATATTTTTTCCAGGTGGTGGCAAATCTGAAACTTGTTGGTCAAGAAAAGACAGAGAAAGTTGAAATTTCAGATGATGAAATAACTTGTCCAGTAGCGAAATGTCACGAAAAAGTAAAATTGCAGGCAATCAGCAATCACTTCAAAGAAAATCACATTACCAATTTCCATTTCAATAATTTAATGATAAAGGACGTCTATGGATATTATAATGTGGATGTCTTAGTGAAAGATGGAAAAACGTATTTGATATTTTTTGATTTTGATGATTGTTCTTTCGGGATAAGTGTTTGCTCCTTAGAACCAGATCAACACAGATATGAGGTGAAATTGCAAGCTGATAATAAGAAGTATTCAATAATTTCCACCAATCAGAAGATAATTCTGTTCAACGATAAAGAACACTGTGCAAAATGTTCCATAGGTAAGTATATACTTGAAAAGTGAAATTTTTGTGCCTGTTCTAAAATATTGTAATAACAAGGATAATTTTTAGTTAATAATACAATAAAATAAAAGACAACACATTACCAAAAAACTGTGTACCTATCACAACTACTTTTTGCTTATGGTCAGAGATAATAATTTGCATCTCTCAGATTTTTTGGTATGGTTAATTAATTTGTTGAAGAACCTAATTGAAGCATTATCAGTCTTTTAAAAGATTAAATGAATTAGCAAAATTTTTCAATGGATTGAACCTTTGTTGAATTTTTTATTTATTTTTGTGTCTGATTCCTAACATCCAACGTGGTACGAATCACACGTTAAAGGGTAAGACCTCATTAGTCCTTAGCTCGCACAAGTTTCGACTTCCGAGGGCTGTCGTTCGTAGGGGTGTGATAGCAGGTTAACGGAAAAAACATATTTTAACATATAACATATTTCAACAACATAACTCAATTTTTCATTTTCTTTATTAGGCTTTGTTGTCAATGAATCTTTGATTGAGATTTTTTTTAATTATACCAGTACAAGAAAAAGCATACTATTGAGACATTTTTATCACTATCATCAAGGTATAATTTACTGAAAAATATTTGTTTTTCTCTTCACTCTTTCTGATCTTTCAGAAAATCAAACGGTTCATTACTTGTTTTTCATTGAAAATATATCATTTTTATTATATAAAAGTTGAAAGCCTTGTGAGACTGAAATGATAATAAAAAGTCTATTATTCACAATTCAAATATTTTATTTTTGGTGCTCGATAAAAATTAAGTTTTCAAGAACTCCAAGACTTCTATACTAGGGATCTTGATTAATGTCCAAAAATGAGTTACTTTCTATATTTTTCAATATGGCGAAGACTGTCAACAATTCATGGTCTCTGCTTTAACTTTTTTCATGTTTTGTTGTTTTAATGTTTTCGGAAATCTATATTGCTTTTAATATAATTCACATATTTCAATTGAATCATATTGACTATGAAGTTTTATTATTATTTTGAGTGACTTATACCTTTAAAACGCAACAAAAACATACATTTTGAATCTATTTCAAAATGTTCTATACAGGGTGTAACATAAGTACGTTAAAATATTCAAGTGACGTATTCCTAAGACAATTTTAAGAAAAAAAGTGTATATGAACTTGTGTTCGAAAATGCTTCGTTTCGGAGATACGGGGTGTTGAAATTGAATTTTTTTGTTCGCATTTTGAAAATAACTCTTGCAAAAAATAAGTTATTTGCACGAAATTCGATACCCAAAAGTTTACTGTCAAAAAATTTAGGGCAATTTGAAATAAATAATGAGAGCGTGCGCAGCGCCCTCTACATGTTACATGAAAATTAATACGAAATTATGATTTCCCACGTCAAAAAAATCCGTGTGCCGAATTTCGTGCAAATAACTTATTTTTTGCAAGAGTTATTTTCAAAAAACAAACAAAAAAATTCAATTTCAACAGCCCGTATCTCCGAAACGAAGCAATTTCGGACATAAGTTCATATAGACTTTTTTTCTTAAAATTGTCTCAGGAATACGTCACTTGAATATTTTAACGTACTTATGTTACACCCTGTATATAAACTAATTCAATGGAGATATACTCAAGCAATAATTAGATCTATAGTCAGTAATTTGGATAAATTCTTTTGCATTGAATTTGAAAAATATTACCTTGTATGTCTCTTAATGAAAAGGGGAAGGGATTAAAAAAAGTAATGCTTTTGTCAACTAAAAGTCACTATTTTGAATTCTAGCGGTTTTACTTTATATAAAAGAGATATTTCAAAACGTATATTGATGGATATGCATTTTTTTGTATGAATCGTTTTGAGTTAGTTCAGAAACTTCAAACAGCATTCATATTTCTAGTAGTATTTAATAGAGGTGGTAAAATAGTATATAATTCAAAGTGCAGGAAATGTGGCCATTACTTGTGAAAATGAAGTTTTTCGACCATGCCAAAGGCAAGCGTCTCAAATTATTTGAGCTAGTAATAGCCAATTTCTTGTGAGTAGAATAACATACATTTTATGCGATTTATAACTACAGTAGAACCCCGGTTATCCGAGGTAATAGGGAGGGAAGCCATTTCGGATAAATGAAAACTCTAATAATCCGGATTTATTTATTATTCGCCCAATAAAACATTAATTATGTTAATAGATATGTGGAATGTAGATAAGTACATTACAAAACAGTAAAATAACTATCTATTCACTTCTGTTTCATATTGCATCCTCTTTTTCTCGCTGCAATATTCCGCCATCTATTAAGAAGTAGATCAGCAGGTGTTGCCTCTGGTTGCTGCTCAATATAAATTAAAGCCTTTTCTAAAGCAGCAAAACCTTCTTGATGGGATATCTTAGTGGCAGGCTCTTCATCTACCACTTCGTCATCGTCATCGACTTCTCCGGTTTCCTGCAAGGCATCCGTTATTTAATAATAATAATATTTATTCACCATTTTTTATACACTTGGGTATATATGGTAAGTCAGTTGTACTACAGGCTAGTAAAGATAAAAAGAGTTGGAGATTGAACACAGAATCACCTCTAAATATACACATATACACATATATACACACATATACAAGTAAGCATAGATGCCCTCAAATTAACTGAACATTTTACATCATTCACATAATTTAATCTAAATAAAATTTCGTCCACTGTGAATTTGATTGTTTGTGAGATTGTCAATTAAAAAATCTTGGTAACTGTAATAGCCTCTTTCTAAAAGCATAGTTTTAACATAATCATGGAATACCTTGTCATTTGTGATTTTTTTAACTTCATTTGGCAGCTTATTGAAGCACATAATGGCATTATACTGAGGGGATTTTTTATAGCTTGCCTAACAAATTAAATACATTTAAAAATGAAGATGGAAGGGGCTGTCAATATTTTTTTGTCTATAAAGACTGGCCGGCAGCTATCCCGGAAATCCATATTGAAGATTAGCCTTATGAGGCGTTTTTGTGCTATGAAGACTCTGGAAAAATCCTTTGCTCTGCCCCAAGCCATAATATTAAGACTTATATGAGGGTAGGCCATGGAATAATATATGCTGAGTAAGGCAGTTTCATCCAAACAGGATTTCAGCTGTTTTATGGCATAATATGCTCTATTTAACTTAGCACATATATAGTCCACCTGCCTTTCCCAATTTAGATTGGCGTCTAGGAACGTCCCTAAAAATTTAATTTCATGCTCGTATTACTTCAAACAAACTTTTTTCTTCTTCCTTGATTTTCTATGTCTCATTGTCAGAACCGGAACCTTCACGGCTTTTCAATTTAGAAGCCAAATCATTCAATGGAATATCTTCTTCAATGTCATAAAAGTCCTCAGAGTCAATAACTTTTGACAAAGATTTTTGAATAGTGGAAGCGTGCACCGGATCCCAAGCTTAACTCACCCAGTACATAATATCGGTTAATCCGGAGCTCGGTTAAACACGACTCGGATAAACGGGGTTCTACTGTATTCTAATTTTATTCTTATGTGAAAATATTAGTTCTTTCACCACATTACAAACTTTTGGGGGAGTACGCTCGTTTTCACTTCCCAAGTCCAAGATTAAATTTTTGTTTTATACTAGAAACTATAATATTTCAAGAACTGTCAGTTTAATGATTAAGTATTATGTTTGAGAACATATTCAAAATTGAGAAGTAGATTCTCAAGATCGAAAATAATTGAAACACGACTGTAAAATTATGAATTTGCTCATCTGTGATTGGCCTCGAAGGTAGTGAGTTATGTATCTGGTTTTTCTGTGATTGGTTAGGAGGCGTGTCTACTACTTTTTCAATTGTCACAGAAAAAATTGATAAAACCTCACAAATATGTTGAAGGGCTGTAATTGTAATGTTACAAAGGTTGCTCTTTTTCTAAATTAGGTTTGAAAACTTGAATAAACTAAATTGATGGATGTAGACGCTACTACGTGGTCGGAAATCATAATGAAGAAAAGAAAAATGAAACTTTCTATGTTTTTTACCACTTTTATTTCTAACTAACGTTACTGCAGTTTCGTCCTATACGGACATTTTCAAAAGAAAGTTTCATTTCTCTTTTCTTCATTGAATAAATTACTATATTGACGAAAGATACATACTGAAGTTTTAATTAAACGAGTACCTTTGTGCGAAAGCCTTAGACCTTGAGTAAAGGACCTCATCATCTAAATCTGACATATTTCCATTGAATAAATAGTTGTTCCTTTAAGGCGTGTGCAAAATCGCGGATCACACGTATCGGCAAAAGAGAAAAGCCATTTTCCGTCGCCTCACCACCAAGATGGCCCGAGACTGTGTTCGTCGCACTTTCCGTTCCAACAAGATGTCCTTCAAGATCAGCATTCTGGAACCGCGTGATTCGCACACTGACAAGATATTGCGACGGCTGTTCGAGTGCCCTATCTGCAAGGATTATATGGCTCCGCCGATCCTCCAGTGCGTCACAGGACACACGCTGTGCAATGTCTGCAAAACGAAGCTTGAAAAGTGCCCGTCATGTGAGGGCAAGATCGAAGGAACGAGGAATCATTTCCTGGAGAAGATGACCGAATCGATGGAGCTGCCCTGTCTATATGAATCAGAGAGCTGTGTTTATCGCGCCGGAATCAAGAGGGTAGCTGCGCATGAGTTGGAGTGTCCTTTGAAGACGAAGAAAGTGTGTAGGGAAGCAAAGGATGCTTGAACATATTGTTTGTAAGTATGCTGTTTACGGTACTCCAGGATCGATGCCCAACGGTTTTATCAACTTGGGGTGGCCGATGTTTCACGTTTTGTTATGTGATCATGCGGAAAATGTTGTGCTGAGTTGAATCGTTACTATAGCCAAACTGGTTTCAGGTATTTCAACAAAAGTCGGTCCAAGAGATCTAGTTTTTTAAGTAAAATATCCTTACGACCACCAAGATGTTTTACTACTGAAATTAGCATGGAATGGTTTGTTTCGAATGTAGAGGTTTTCATACTGTGAAAGCTAGTAGAGTTTGAAATACTTAAATTCATAATTTAAATATCACTTTCTATTTATATTAATTATTGTTTTTTCTCGATTTAGATTTCATATACAGAGGATTGCAATATGCACTATAGAACTTACTTGTAAGTTACTTTAATTTTGCAATTAACTTTAATGGATAGAACAGGAACTAGCGTAGAATGAATGTCACGAAATTACTTTTGCCATAACCAGAACTGTGAAAACATTTTTCTTGACTTACGTTTCGCCAATCAGGTAATCAGGTGAAATACACTGAAAATATAAAATTTCTTTTCTTGTTATTGAAATACAGTAATTTAGTATCACATTAATCTTGCTACATCATTAAAATACAGGCACCAACTATTCTTGAGGAATCATACACTTTGTAATGTAGAAGATATTCTGAAAAACTACTTGAAAAAAAACCTTTTGAATTTAAGTACAAAAATGTTGCAGCATTTTCTTAAATTTTAAGATAGTTTAAAAATGTCTTGAATTTATTCAAAAAATGAATGTCCTGTATGTAGGAAGACTACTTTTAAATTGTAATTCATTATCGACTTTGCTTTTGATTTGGAAGGTTTAAATTTTTTAACTTCTTTGTTGCATATCGATGGATACAGTGCATGCGATTTCAAACCGCAACACCCTGTTATTTTGGAACCCGTGAACCCATTTTGAAAAATGACAGTTTCAAATTATGGTACTCGAGGAACTCTATACAAATATGTTGACAGATATGAATTATTCTCATTTTCAAGGCTTTCTATGACCTGCAAAATGGGTTGAAATTTTGAAAAGGACCATTAGCCATTTTTTTATCGGAAAAGTGGATACCCCACTGATTTGGGAATATTTCGAACATCTGCTACTCAGCTACTCAGAACATCTGCGAACTCAGCTACGAAGTTACATAGGTTGAAATCGTTTCATGGAGTTGTATCTAATTTAATTAAAATCAACAAATCAAAAGTTGAAAACGTGTTTTTCATTTTAGAAAAATTACCAACAACAGAAATAAATTAAATGAGAAATGGAACAGTCAGATATTGGAGTTTTCAATATATACTCCTTCAAACTCTATACATTTTTCATAAAGTCGTCTCAAATTCTGGCGGGTCTTCCTCAATGGGCTCATTTAACAATTTTTTTTAGTTTCATTATTTGAAAGTTTATGTTTCAAATAGTACATCTGCAAAAAAAATTAAATTTCACTCTTTATCTTCCCACTCAAATTAATAGTTGAATATGGTCAAGCTTGACGTCACATCAGTCGACTCGGCGACAAGGGAGTGCTGGCGACGATGGCAGCGATTCATAATCTCCAACTACAGGCCCGGTTGCCACCGCTCGAAGCTCGTTGCCTGGTGTGTTGTTAATTGATACTTGGGAGATGATTTACTTTTACAATATATAATTTTCAATAAAAATCTAAATTAGCCTGAATGAGCACATTGGCTTGGTGTTATTTCACAACACTTTTGCCTTATCTTCTCCTTCAATTCATTCAAATTTCGTGGTCTATTTCTATAAACACTTTCTTACAAATATCCCGACAGAAAAAATCTAATGGAGTCAGGTCTGGTGATCGAGGGGGCCAACAAATGAAAGGGCTGTTCCTTCCAATCCATCTTCCCTGAAATTTTTTATCAAGATATCACATTGTGAACGGAGGCACCGTCTAGCTGAAATAAATCATTTCTGCGTTCTTCAATGAGTAGTTTTTCCATGAAATCCAAGAATTTCGTTGTCAAAAAATTATGAAATTCTCCACCGTTTAGTGTGTTTTTAAAAAACACTGGGCCTATTGTACGGTTTTTGAATATTCCTATCCAGACATTGATTTTTTGTGAATATCGTCGTTTTGCATTTATCATTCAGTGTGGATTCTCCCTTGCCCAGTATCTGGAATTCTGAGTGGACACTGTACCGATAGTGGTAAATGTCGCCTCATCGGTAAAGAGAATATTGCCCAGAAAGTTATTATTATTTAAATATTCACCTTGACAGAATAAACAGAATTCCAACCTTCGTTCCTCATCGCCTCTTTCTAACGTGAGTATGATTTTGGGTTTGAAGCAAATAACTTTGTTTTTTCAAACATGTACGTATTTTAGATATACTAACGTGTAAATCTCGTGAAATCTGCAGCAAGCTATTTTTCGGGTTATCTTGAATATTCTCTAAAATTTGTCTTTCTATCTCTATATTCCCTCTTTGTCTCATTTATTCTCCTGGTTCTATTGAATAATGTATTGATCCTGGAGACGGTTGTATAGTGAATTGGTTTACGATCTTCTTATGTTGAATTCTTCCGCGGCCACTCTCATTCTCATTTCACTCGACTAAGTTGAGATTTACCATTTTGAAAACTGAATATTACTGGAGTTTTTTCCCCAACACCAAATCGTTATTTTTAAATCTTCAAAGAGGAAGATTAGTTTTAATCTTCATTATTACACCAAAGGTTCCAAACAGTGCATCATAAAATTTTGAAAACTCGCAAAACCCTTTTATAACTCTCATCACCAAATACTCGTGGAAAGCGTTTGAGGATAAATAACTGTCAAAAAGAGACAACTTAATATGAATCCGTATGAAATCATAAGGGTTTTGTCAAAATTTGTCACCGGGTTGAGACAAATGTTGAAAATAGCATATAAAGGGGTATTTTTACAATTTTTGATTGACAGTTTATTATACCAAAAAATCAAACGATATGGATAAAAAAATTTCAACTTTTGATTTTTGGTTGAACAAGGGACATCTTTTTGTACCTGTTACGATGATGAAACTTCGTATTTGAATATTTCATGTTACACGTGTTTCGCTATACAATAGCTATTGTATAGCAAGACATGTGTCGCGGTTTTTGTAAAACTCTTTCATAGTGAAAATCATACAATATTTCAAGTGTTTCTCATTTCGAAGGCTACTTCACCTTTTCTTTGAAGCATACACTTTGTTATAGGGTCAAAAAATTATGAATTTGGGAATTTGTTATCGTATAACTAACGCGCTGTATAAGGTATGTAGAGGTTTGAAATATGCTCGAATCGAATGGGCTATTCACTTTTCCAATAAAAAATATGCCTAATGGCCCTTTTCGTTGTTGCGGTTTGAAATCACACACACTCTATATGCACAATATTTGGAGTAATGTTCTTGACTTGAATTCTCTTGAATTTGTTTAAAAAAATATAAGGTGTGGGTTGCGAGATGAGATTTCAACTCCTGGGTCCAAGTGGCCTATGCTAAAAAGAATATTTGAAGATTGTTTTCAAAATTAATGGTCTAAGTGATGACTTTGTGGAATAATACATCAAGTTGCCAAAAATCTGCATGAATCAAAATCGTTTCCTCCAGTGAAGAAATGATTTTTAGTGATTATGCTTATTGATATCAACTAAAAGTTCACCTATCTAGATATAAATTTGAGTTCGAATTGGGTGATACCAATTTGGTTGGTAGAAAGTACAATAAGAATAGTTTTTACAGTTATTGAGTTTGGGAAATCAGTAATTTACTTATTTTCAATACTCAATAGTACAATCTGAATATATATTTACAATTTTTTTTGTTGCAGGGTTGAACATGGAAATGCTACCAGCAGTTAAAGAATTAAGCATTAATTGTATTAATTATAATGTGTCCTATTTGGGACAAGTCTTTTTAAGGTTTACTTTATGTAACTGGCACAATATAGATGTGGAATATCTCGATTCTGGTTTTATTTTCTGGTTTGCTTTGGGCCTTAAGGATGTTCCTTCTTAATGGATTTATTTACTACTTTTTTTATCGAGCTTTGAGAACAGTTTCATTTCAATGTGAATAACAATCTTTGTGACTTACCGTTTTGTTTTCAAGAACCAACTTTTGCAAATGAAATTTTCCATTGTAACACAAGAAATACAGCTCTCCCCTGAATTTGTATGATTAACGAAGAGCCAATATTCTGTAAATTATTACACACCTAGGATTTATAATAAGCTCTCTTTACATCTGAAGAGGTTATCCTATAATAATTTCAAAACCAAAATTAAACATATACTTTTATACAGGACAGTTAATTACTCAATCGCTGACATTTTTAATGCTGATCTGGGTTGTTACATGAGTGGAATATGATTATCTTTATTTTGATAATTTGTTCATAGAGTTGTGCACTTTTGCCTTGTTTGATTCATTTTAATTGTAATTTGTATGTTATTTTGAATATATTTTAGTATGTACCCATCTTGACGTGTGCATTAGAAGCACAAACGAACATCTATCTATCAAAAGCCATGAAATAAATGTAGTTTTGGTAAATGAAACTTCTATTGAAAGGTGAAATTTCATTTTTTATTATTTAAAATAAATAGTTAATCAAGTCTACATACACAACAATTAATTATATAATAAATTGCACTACTAAGAATACACTATTAAGTACTAAAAGGTTTTAATTTATTAAAATCACAGTTTTTATAGTTAAATTTACAACTACAGGCTAATAAATATATGAACATCACCACCTTATATTCATTCTTTATAATCAAATTAATACTTTTTTTTGATATCATAAGTTCATTCATAAACTTTTTCCGAATTATTTATCTTTCTTGATTCAATTGCACAAAGTACTGATAATTGGTTTATACAGAGTGTTTCGAAATAATTGCTGAATACCTTGCCAGGTAAAAATATTTCAAATTATACTACAATCAAATTACTGATAAATGCTTATAAAAAATCACACAAGTGATGACTAAATTAAAAAATGCCTGAAAATTATGAAAAAAAATAAATACAAATTAAAAAAATACTTAATATGCCGAAATTTAATATACATACAACATAAAAATCAAGACGAAATTAGTGTTGAAAATCATTTATAAAATTTTTTTCGAGATCCACTTACATTTATCCTCTAGAAATTGAAAAGCAAGATACACAGGTGTGTGAGTACTCCCGTCTTATTTTTTGTTCTAAAAGCAATGATGACTTATATGAAAAAACATTTACAACCCAGTTACTTATTGCTGCTGAATGCTCCATTACCTGAAGTAACTGGATTCACACATATTGGTGTTCTCCTTTGTACCAGTGTATCTTGAGTTATATTTTATTACTAAATTATTTATTTACAATAGTATCGAGTGAGTATAAAGCCTACACACACTTTTTGGACCATATTGCACTGTCAATAGAAACACCTTAACATCGTTTATTGTTTGTAAATATATAAAACAGAAAAACCTGAAACTATTTTAGTGAAACACCATCTACATTTCAAGTCCTTGTGTCGACGTGTATTTCTCTGGCCAACAAATGATTCATACTTGCTCTGTAATGTGGATTGCTTAGTTACCTATCAGGATGAGCAATTCTATCTGTAAAAAAATTCTTTTCATTTTCCTCAATGTGCTATCGACCGAAAAAACCCAAAAGTTTCCTTCTCGGAGGTGGGACAGGATCACTGTCTATTTTCCTCATTTTAACTTCTTGATTCGAGAGTTTATTTTTGAGCTGCTCATCCAACAGTTCGTGCATATCCATCTAAAAATTAAAACAGGTTAATTTCATTTTAATGCCACAAATATGTAATATATTAAATTTCAGTTAACATCTATTTGTTTTAGATATTTACATGATTTTCATCAGCACAGGAAATTAAATTAGTACCTTTTGATTCGACAAAGAGTCATATTTTTGAGCAGTGCCTATCACTTTTTAAATAAATATCCTGAGAGTTTTTACAAATGAATATATTTTGCAACTCAAGTTTTTGAAATCGGCATATATGATACTAGATTTGGGGATATTTTCTAAAGTCTGAAAACAGCTAAGTGTTCATACTTTGTTGTAATCATAATCCACCCTGTTAAGATTTTTCCGAATTTATACTTTCACTAAAAGTGAAAGTTCACCTTGTTAGATATAATTGAACAATGCATTGGATTAAATAATTGGTATAAAGATAGTTGAAATGTGAAACGCCTGTCGAGAAAATAATTTTGCAGTTTTTGTATGTGGAAGCAGATTATCAAAATAAAAAAAAATGCAGAAAACCTGTTGAATAGATTATTCAAAACAATCACTAATGACTCTAATTTTCTACTGCCATCATAATAATGAAATGTAAACATTGTAAACACAATCTTTCAGATGTTCAACAGTTTCAGCTATTTATTTCACTGCAGGTAGTATGTATGTCATATACTCAGGCTAATTTTGCACATGTTCACTGTTGACAAACATTTTTGTAGGTTATGTTCAAAATGTATGACACTCTAGCACTCTGATATCCTTTGCTCTTAAGGTTCACAAAAGTATATACTTTTGAAAATAGTTCAGGAAGGAAGGAACCTGTACAGTTATTACGAGTTCAAAGTTTTGACCCTCTTCTCAGGCAATTAGGAAGAAATTAAATGCATATCTCTTTCAAATCCTAAGTGTATTTACCTGCCACTGCTCTAGTTGCTGACTCAGTTCCACTTTCTGTTGGATGGATTCCAATAGTTGACTGTTGGCCTGCATGAGTTCCACCCTTGTTTTGGCTAGCTCTACCTCGGCTTTCGTTCGCCTTTGAACTGCCGCATCTCTGTCCTCACGGGCCTTGGCGACGATGTCGTCCTGTGCCAAAGACGTATCACAGGCATCGTGCCGAGCCCTGTCTCGCTCCTCCATTGCCGAAGCTAGTTCCACTTCGCAAACAGATGCCTGTGAAATAAGAAAAAAATATTGATGTAAAAGTTATTTACATTTGGAAAGTTTCCAGGTGAGACAAAAATGGGAATTTTGAAGAATTCCAATTAATATGCCATGCCTCTATTGAAAACACTTTTCTCACACAAGAACACTGTCAATCGATGTACTTTTCGATAACCAAGTTAGCATCATCAGGAGATGATTATGACTTTTCGCTAGACTAACTTGGTTAGTGAAACGTGCGTCGAGAGACAGTATTCTTGTTATCAGTCTCGGTCATCTCCTGATGATGTTAACTTGGTTAGCATCACTGTACAATCCTACAAGCAAATTGTTTATACTGAGGCCTTCATAATTCAATTCACAAATTTGAGAGAGAAATATTTAGATGATTTCAATTAATATCGACGTTATTTTCAGAACCTGGCAAACATTCATTTGTTTGTTACGCTAATTGATCTGTATTGGCCATGTCTGCCCTGAGAGTTTACTAATTAAACTTCATGGTTCGACAGATCGTCTGTGTTCATGGCTCTCCTGTTTTCTCAAGTACGTTCACACAAATCTAATATTTCACTTTACTGGCGACAGCACACTTGTCTGACTTTGTTTTTGTAAAATTATTGTTTTCCATGATATCTCGAATATAGGTAAAATATACAAGTACATTAAAATATCCTCCTGATAAATTCAATTGTTGCAGAGGTTCAACTATTTTAGTTGGTCTAGAATATTCATCATAATTTTTTTGGTGTTGGTACATGTTAAGTATTGTTGAAATCCCTAATTTAAACAGATTCACTTTATCAAATAAATAAAGGAGTAGTTCAAGTTTTATATTTTCACCAATTTCATTTTCTGAAATACTCTTTGTTGTACTTGAGAAACTGACCATCTATTTATATTCGAAATGTCATGAAAAACCATTGTACAAAAACAATGTCAGAAATTGAAAAAACTATTTTGAGTTGAATTCCAATTTCAAGAATGAAACAAAAGTTGGAGCTTTTCTGGGTTTGTCAAACTATTCAAACTCTGTACAAAATTTGCTAAGAAAATTGAAATTCTTATATAACTTATTGACAAAAATACCATATTCAAATGGACAGGGAAATGTCAAAAATCATTTGATAACGTGGTGAAGGATAGAAAGGAAGGAAATATTTTTAAGAGAATTTCTGTGAATGATGGAATATCACCTCATAATGCTTCTTGTTTCTAGAGACAAGTATCTTGGATAAAACACTTACTTTACTATTCAGCTCCATTATTCTCTCCGCTCTTCTAGCCAGTTCTTCATCTCTCTCTTGAATTTCTCTTCTTGCTTGTTCTAGCCGTTCTAGAAGTCTAACTACGTCTGTGTCCAATACCAATCCGACTAGTTCCTGAGCTACTTCGCTGAGCAATCCCGGTGAAAATCTAAGGAAAAGAAGCCATTATAAGGAAAATAATCCATTATTGTACTCTGCTTTTGTTTGTTTCATCCAACTAATCAGATACAGGTCATTATTGACAAGAAATTATAACTCGACAGACACTTCATTTTAACTTTTCTACCAACAAACCGTTTTGATGTATTTAAATACTGTTCACAAAACACATAGGAAAAACAAATGAAATAAAATGTACAAAGTTTTCGAAAATTACCGGACCAAAATATTCAGATGATTTAAATTGTAGTGCAAATGAATTACTGTGACTTGAATAAACTATTTAACAAATACGTTTAATGTCCAATATATACAAGCAACAAACAGTAAATAAAATAATCAAGATAAATTATAAATGCCAAAAAAAGTATTCGCGCAAGACGAGGGACTGTCACTAGTTATATGCAACATATGCCGTGCTAGAAATCGCACGTTAAAAGGTAAGACCTCGATAATCCTTAGCTCAACTTCTGAGAATTATAGGATGGGAGCGACAGCTGGTTAACGGAAAAACAGATTTTTTCAACAAATATACGTGGAGTGGTTCAAAGGCTGGCTATTTAAGAAGCTCCAAGTCTGGTGAAAATACGCTGACGACATTTTCATACTATGGACCATGGAGACCACACCATTTACAATAGAGAAGGAAGTCCATAATTTTTTGCTGTTTTGAAACATAAAGGTGAAGAAGACCCACAAAAAGTGGGAAAAACATCTGTATCAACCAAGAGAGGAATCGGTCCCGATTGATCAGGAATTCAGGCTCTGTAACACAAAGAAAAATCTTTACAAGATACTAGGCCACATCAGGAGAAATCTTCCGCAGAATGTTTACTGATGGCATTGCAAAGCTAAACTGTTGGAATAGACTTTGGCTAGAACACAACAAGAGCCCCGCAGGGAAGAGAAGCCATAATAACCAGTGCTCTCCCTTCCTTACTTCAGCGGATTGTCGTAGATCAGAAGAAATTAGGTCCAAATATAACACAGAACCTGCTTCAAATCGTTCAGCCAAGCAAGTGTGGCGATACACAACAAATGAAAACTACTTTCCCGTTTGCGGTTTGCGTTGAGGAAGTTTAATCTTCTTCTTGAAAATGATTACTTGGTAATTGAAACACGGGTCGAAGTGTTAAAAATAACGGTTTGGTGTTGGCATAGAACTCCAGTAATATTAATTACTTCGACAAAGGTTCCAAACAGTTCATCACAAATTCTATTTGATCTTCATAGATTATAAATTTGTTTAGACAATGGAAGTCTGATTTGCAACATTCACAAAACAATGTCAACCACTTTCAAACAAGTTTTTTTTGTTGAACGTTGAAGTTTCGAATTTCCATTGACTTTAAGTTTTATCTATATGTAAATAGACGTTCTCCTTTGTTTGGGCATAGCTCCATTTTCGAAAAAGGGAACTTGGGTTCTGTTGTAGTTAACTTGTATACACATAGTCAGGCCTCCAATGATGGAAATTTGTGGTTCACAGAAATTTCAGAGGTTCCATAAAAAAATCAAGATTTGGGCAAGAAGAAGGAATGACTAGGTTAGAAAATTTACATGGATTTCCACAAGGAGATGGACGTTATCAATATTAGATGCAGGAAAGTGCAAAGGAGACCCCTGATATCGCCCCTTTATGAACGACAACCCTCAGAAGTAAAAAGTAGTGCGAACTGCGGATTAACAAGGTTTTACATTTCAATGTACGATTCCTAGCACCAGTGTGACGGTACGTAATGAAAATACAAATCCTATAATCGGAATGTGCGACAGTCCAACATGCAGACAGATGAGAGAAGGATGTCTCTATGGTTCGCACAACGATTTCTATTTGTGACAAAAAGTACTTTGTTAATAATAGTGAAGTAGAGTAGTTACCTGGAATCATCCATGGAGCTGGTGGAACAATCTGAATGCAGACCACTGTCGTCGTCGGAGTGAGATTTGAGCTGCGCAACTAGTGACCTCAGTTGGCGGTATACCGACATACATTCTTGAGATAACGTCGGCTCTGAGATGTCCATTTCTGATAAGAGAGATCGATGTTCACCGGCTGGTCAGACCAATACACACAGTTAGTTGTTGGGGTTAGTACGACATATATTGTTAGTTGAGATCAGAGCAAAGATGATCCAATACTAGACTTTGGCTATTTTGACATACCATAGGTCTTCCCTTAGGGAGACAGAAGACAAACCAAGAATATCAATAATAACTGAGGCGTTGCAAAGCCAAGCTTCTACCGCCGAACGAGATTCGTCTTCTGCCTTCATCTGCACTTTCACTGCAAGCCTAGCACCACTCATGAAATCTATAGCAGGACAAAAATCTCTATCTTGTACTGGATCGCGAATGTTTAGTTTTTGGGCTCTGGTTTCAACTATTTGCTTTGCAGTGAAAGCTGCAGAGAATGATGAGGAATCTCGTTCAGCGGTCGATGTAGAATCTTGGTTTTGGAACCGACTGCCTTTAGGAGCCTCTTTCATCATTGATATTCATAGTATAAGTATTTTGTCATTCCCATAGATGACGTCTTGGTAAGGGGAGATCTTCCCGTGTTTTCCTACATATGTGTTAGAGTCTGTTTTACAAATGAAGATTTTGTATGATTGGTGGTGTTAATGATATGTTATCTTAAATCGACATGCAGATGAAAGATGAATAAAATGAAACATACATTTTGTCAAAGTTTTGTATGCATACAGTATATGTCAGTTTGTTCATTTTCAGGAAAATATAACGAGGGCAAACCAGAACACAAAAGCATCCCCCACTGATTCGATAGCATAGTGTGATGCCACAAATAATCTCATAAGTGGTATTCATCTGCATCTGAGCAAACAGAAAACTCAAATTGTCATAAAAGATGACCACAGTTTCCGAAATTTTTGAAGATTAGATATCTATCTTTCTGATATTATATACTTTTGCGCTCTAGTTTAGTTATAGTTGTCTACAATGAAAAGTGCAGGAAGGCAGAAAGCTTTATATATCGAAGTTAAGACTTCTGTTGGCTAAAAATATGTATTGTTGAACCCTTTTTCGTGTTCTGTCAACCCTGAGATAGCTTCCCTAAAGAGAAAGACTCTTGCATCACACTATCTACATTCCTACATCATTCTATAAATACCTGTGTCATGTTTTGTCACAACCTAATTCCATCAATATATTGATGAAATTCAATCAACGAGTTTATCTACTAACTGATTCCTACGAGAGAAAATATAGTAATGTTCATTGAACGCCGTGACAACCAACAAGGAAACATATTTTTTATTACCTATTATTATTATTGTAACTTGCTGAAATTCTGAAAATTTTGTTCCCAATAAAATAATCAGTGTTGATACGCTCAATATTCAGCACTACACTTCTGAGGTAGCTTTTCAATGCAGGTTTGATAACGAACATAGATTATGAATCATGAGAAAACAAGTACCTGCAATTAATTGTGAAAGTAAAGGTGATACTTTCTAATATCTAAAAATTGACTATATCAATATTTAAAAATCAAATGACAACCAAACACCAGACAGAACATACATTTCAACTCAAAAGAAAGTTTTAAAATCTTTTATATAAGAAAACAACTTTCGAGCTTTTTCTCAAATGAAATTAAGTGTCTCTTACAAAGGAAATAATTCGGCAAATCAATTTCCACAAAATTAACAGTATATATAGGACACGGCAAACTATGTTTTATGTATCGATTGAAAGAACATAAATATGACATCAAAAAATAATTTAAAGAAAAACACAGGCATTCTACACTTGCCAAACATGCAAATGAACAAAAAAAAATCAAATGAATTTTGATGAAATACGAATTTTGGAATCAGAGAAATATCCGAATAAAAGATTAACACTACACAAACAATCAGATTGAGAAACAAAAAAAGGGTTCAGGTATTGACAATTCAAGTACCATATATTTCATTTCAACAGAAAACACATGAACAATGATCTCTCGAGTTCCTGCCTCTTTTGGTTGTATTTTGACAATTTTTTATTTTCCAATAACATGATATATTACTCAAATATTGAACCTCCCATTAGAAAAAAACAGGCGTTCCTGGACACATAGTTTGATTGCTTGTTCGTGTCTGAAAAATTGTTTATTTCCGAAAATGTTAACGTGTTATTTTTCCACTAATTTCAATCTGTTCTGTAGGTAATTGTGCGTTATTGGTAATGCCCTTCTGGAAAAAAATAAAAAAACTAGATGTAAGTTTTTATCTATTTTGGGCAATTTTCCACCAAAGAAATTAGTCGGTTTTTCAATTGGGCTTGAGAAAGATAACCCTTGAGTTCAAAAAATCTTGATCTGTGTCTTGTTCCTCTCTCATTCAGCGTTCAGTGAACATTTTGAGCTACGAGTTGATGTTATTTAAGTTTAAGGTGACAATTTATCTTGTTTTGACAATAACAAAAAATGTGAATATAACATTTGAATATCCGTGTCGCGGACCTTGCCTCCAACATCCCACCCCACTCAAGAACATATAAACACTTACCGCTCAACCGTTCCTCGATGGACAGTTTCTCCTGCGGCAGGCTGTATTCCTTCAGGCTCTGCTGATAGCGCATGTCTTGCTCCCTAGTGTGCCTCTCCAACAGCAGTATCCTGTCTGATGCCTCCTCCAACGCCGATGCGATGTTGTCGCGCTCCGCGGAAGCCATGTGAAGCCGCCTTTCGAGTTCTTTATTTTTTTCGGTTGCCAGGTCCAGTTCGTCTCTGAGGCCGTCTACGCTGTTCATGTGTTGCTGTACGGAGTCGTTGAATTATATTAGAAATCGAAAGGACATTTTTGAATCCATTATCTATTATTATAATGAAGTTTTAAACTTTTACGGCCGGAAGTGAAATTCAAACTCTTGTTATTCGGACTGGGTAGCCGTGGTCCAATGTAGATATTAACTCCGAACGTTTCGCACATAACTACAAAGGGCATTTTCAGTGGTAGTTGTCAGCAATGCGACCTTCTCGTTAGTAGACTCGTTAATGAGACTCTACGTAGTATGTCAAAGTTGTTCCGGTGTAAACACCGGACCATGGTATCAAGCTCTCCGCCGATGCCCGATCAAATACGATAATGCCAGAGCCAATCAGGAGAGTCCTCCCCACCACTCTATCTATAAATATCAATGACACGCTTTCAGATTCACTCAATTTACTGAGAACCAACACTTGCTCGCGACTAAAAAAACATTCGTCTCCGGTTAGTTTTTGGGGACCCTATGCAGTCAGATCAAAAAGTAAAAGCACCTAGAGGCTGACTTTCAACCAAAGAAGGTCAGATGTCAATCTTGCTGAAGTGCCCATCAGTAAGTTGAGGACCGCTCCCGAGGAGCGGGGGTGGATGGACGAGATTCCAACCCAGGGCACTCAACCCGAGAGGGGGCATGGGGGGATAGGGCCTCATTAAAGAGTTTACCAAAGAGGAGATAGCTACGAATTGCCGCCAACCACCGCTGAAGATGCCCATCGTAGTTATGCGCGAAACGTTCTGAGTTAATCTCTCTATTGGACCACGGCTACCCAACCCGGATAACCAAAGTTCATATTATTATAACTTATAACATTAATTAATCTATTGTTATAATACATTTGGCATACCATCCTTACTGTTTCAATTACTTTTTACATTTTCATTGCATTAATATTCTCATTTTTTCCTTTTCTTTACAAAATAACAGACAAGCCAATTCGAATATACACGGTGAAATGAAAAAAGGGGACTATATTATATTTTTCGGCATTGAGTACTGTAACTCTGTGCTAAAGAACTTCAAACTAACCTAGCACAACACCTCACCTGTAAGCTACTTTTCCCCAATGTCAGCTGCTCCCTGTACCCCTCCACCTCTCTCAGGAGCTGCTGTTCTTTCTGAGCCGCCTCCTTGAGCTGCGATGTGAGTCTGGCGTTCTGAGCACTCAGTTCTGTTACGAGGCCGCTTTTTTCCCTCTCCCATTGCTTCACGAGGTTATCTTTGGCGGCGAGTTTCGAAGTGAGCTCGACGATGTCGTTTTGCAGCTCGATTATTCGGGAGTCGAGTTCGGATTCTTTCGAATTGAGTTTGCGTCGCAGCAGATGGCGGTCCTGTTCAACTGCCTGAAATATAAAAAATCAACATGAATTATGTATATAAGACTTCGGTCGTGAATTTGACACCAAGCGTTTGATGCTGGACAAACTTCAATGAGTATGTGGCAAACCCTCGAATAGAGTCATGTAAATCACATGGACCCAGGTATGTCTCATTTCGAACACGTAATATTGTATATTTTTCAGAAAAACTACCTTCAATTAGTCGGTGTCCACCGGTGGGTTGGGCTACCTATCGGGCGCGTCTCCAGGTGGCGGATAGGGGAACAGCCAGGGGACTGTGGGCCCTGTCCGGAAAGCCAATATGTGGCCTTATGGACGGGATCGCTGGACTCCTGGTCAGTGGCAGAAATAATATGGGTGAGGGGAACTAAAACTACCCAAAAGACTTTGCGAAACATGCCACCGTAGAATAGTCTACCCAAGCTAAGGTGTAAGGAATCGTGCTGACAGCTGAATTGACGCAGGGTGATATGCGGTAACGAACGATCCCCTTGGTTAACCGGGCGAAACCGAATTGTAATCAGCCTTCCTCTGGTAATGCGGGACTCTGCCAGAGATGACCAACTCTTTCCTTGCTACTCGTGAGAACACACATATATGAAACAAACAAACAGACACAACAAAAACCCATCCCGAGGTTAGACAGAAGTGCGCACCTCAATCTATGGCGGTGGCTGGGGATGAACAGAAATGTCCACCCCAATTTACCGCTCGGAATGAGGTTGGACATAGCAGATCACCTCGTGATGTAATACAAAGGTGGCGCATTTGCGGCGCCGATGCCAAAAGGAGAAAGAGAGCGAAAGAGGTAGGAGTGGCAGCAACTATAAGTGCACCCTCCTCCTCCCTCACTCCACCTCCAACCGCAAAGACACTTCCTGCGGCGGGCGCCAAGATCTCCGCCTTGAATAAAGGCAAGGAACCGGCTGCCCCTGCAGGAAAGCGCCCTCACTTGAACACCTCCATTAGGGGAACCCTAGGAAGGTTGAAGAAGCCGCGCAACGACAATAATGTCGCTGCACCTTCCAAAACCTTCGCGGAGGCCGCCGTGAGATACCTCAAGGTTGTCAAAGAGAGTGTGTGTTCGGCGAGTCTTGGCCTACACCTGCCGATAAAAGGAGATGTTTCCTAGTGACCTGTCCTCCTTCCTGGAAAGGAAATGATAGACGATGACCTAGGAGGACAACTCCTCTGAAGGATATAAAATGGGTCACATTTGGCCTAAGTGCTGTGGATATACACTCACCCTCACTACTATATACATACATAGTCGGTGTCCAGCGAGTAAGTTTCCTGGACATGCCACAAGACATTTACTGAACAAAGGTAACTTAATCAATCAATCAACGATTATCAGATGAGTCAAGAACTACTCAGGAAATTATTTTGAAACAAGCGTATTCGTGCTATCTTCGCAATATACTGGCATCTGTTTTATATGTGTCTCAAAATTTACTGAACTGTATTGCAATTTCACCAAATTACCAGCTATGCCACTAAACAAGCAAATTTCCTTTTCAGAAATAGTCTGTGTTTCTCTTAACAATAATTTAGTGAAAAAAAACTAATCAACAGAGTTTATTCTATGATTTTCACTATAAGGGTTTTACAAAAACCGCGACACATGTTTCGCGTTTCAAGCATGAGTTATGTTTGAAGTTATGCTTCTTCAAGCATAACTGAGTTATGCTTGAAGCTATTGTATAGCGAAACACGTGTCGCGGTTTTTGTAAAACCCTTATAGTGAAAATCATAGAATAAACTCTATTGATTAGTTTTTTAAATATGGATTTTCATCAAGTATCGGCCAGTTCTATTCAATAATTTAGTGTCTTCATCATAATGATTCTGTAAAATGCCACTCTGTGTACTTTTCATAATTAAACTATTTATATCATAGATTTAACAATATTATACTCACATAGGAATCTTTCTTTATTCATCTATTGAAGTCATTTGGATCCAAAGAAATCACCTTTATGTTTATGAAAACACTGACTACTGTAAAATTTTCACTATCTAAAGTTTACAAAACTGCTTGAGGTAGTTATTGTATAGCAAAACACGTGTCGCGATTTTGTAAACCTTTCATAATATCATAATAACCCTTATTGGTAAATTTTGATATTCATTTATTTTTTACTGACTACGGTGATGAAAACTGATCTAATTCCATAATTTTAGACATAATATGCCTATGACGTAAAGTTTGAAAAAAAAATCTGTTTCAGCCTATTGGGCATCGTCAGTAGCGGGCATTCGGTCCTCGATTGAAAACAAAATGTGAAAAAACCAAGAAAAGTACCTAATAGAAATAACTGCATAAACGCAAGCGAGACATAAGTGGAACCACCTATTGGTATGACACCCAAGTCAACTTGCCAAGTTTTCATGTCAGTGTTGGTGGTTTGTCCAATCAACCGCTTGCGTTTACGCAGTTATTTCTTTTAGGTACTTTTCTTGGTTTTTCACATTTTGTCTTCAATCGAGGACCGCCTGCCCGGTACTGACGATGCCCAACATGGGAATGATCAGAATGGTACTTATTCATTTATCTTTTGATTTTCATGGAATTATTTTTCAGCAGCTTGACTGCATTAACCTTTCTCGATTTTATATATATTACAAATTACAAATTTTGAACATGACATTATGCCACATAGGTAGTCAAAGTGTCACCGTGTCTCCCTCAAAATTATGATCTGTACCGTAAAGTAATAACATGATTTCTAATTAATAGAAAAGAACAACTGCAGATCGTCTTTGCAATTTTTGCCTATTATATTAGTACAGGACATTAGATGAAACATTTTTATAATGAATGTGGTTCATAATTAAACTCTATAACGCTCCATAAATTTGAATAACTAGATAAATTTTTACTATTTTCATTTTCAGGATAAAAATAATATTAGAGGATACTTTCATATTGTCATTATGCTAGTAAAACTAGAATGTACGGTCACGCACGTACGTAGTATATATGAGACACGTTCTGTCTCTTCCGGTTACCTAAAACAGAGGAAGTTGGAAGTGGATCAGAATGTATTCAAATAAAATTTCACACACACTCATTCATGGGCTGCACCCTCTGTGATATACGATACCAAAATATCCACAGTTTCCTTTTTCCTCTTGTTTCATTATCTTTATTGTACCAGCTGCTATAGTGAAGTGGCTAGGCCTATTCGATCGATTTTTATTTATTTCACGGAATTATTCAGTTATATTCGATTTTTCATTTTGTTAATAAGTACGAACAGTTTTTTATTGACACTTAAGCAATTCGATGAAGAGTTTGTTGGAAAAATTATAATTATTCTCTTATGAAGTTATTATTTATCATAATCAATATAATCTGTCACGAACTTAATTAGCAATAAATATAGTTTATAAAACTAAAAAACACGCTTTTGAAGAACATCGAACTGAAAAGTTGAAAATATTTTTTTTTCAAATAAGTTTAAAATAGTAACGAACGAAAAATACTAGTAGGTATTATTGTGAAAAAAGCGTGGGCGCTTTGTGCTATATTTTTTGTATATCAAGCGCCCGTCGCATTTTTCACAATAATACTAGTATTTTTCGTTCGTTATTGTTTTAAGCTTATTTTTTAAAAATTACTTTTAACTTTTCAGTTCGATATTTTTTAAAAGCGAGTTTTTTTAGTTTTTTTGAACTATATTTATTCAAATGAAGGAATACATGTAAAGTGAGTTCGAATTATATCAAAGAGGTTACGTACAGCACCATCTGCCTGCGAATAGATCAAGCAGTAATGTCGATAATTCTAAAGTTACAAATACACATACATACATACAGGTGAAGCTAATAGAAGCGTGTTAAAAAAAATGAGCGTGTTTGAAACAGAGAAAATATATGTATAAGTTGCATTAAAATCAAAAACTTAATGACAAAGATATGAATGAACGGATTCACTTTAGCAATTAAAGAGTATTCAATGAGATATTTTTAGTAAATACTTCCTGGATTGTAAATGAAATGAATAATGTGTACTGTTCAGTCGGAAATGATTTCATCAAAATAGTTTACTGACACATTTTGAAGTCAAGTTTCAGTAGTTTTGAAGCATAACTTTTCCAAGTCGATGAATTGGAAAGCAATGATCACTGAAATGACCAGCAACATAGCCGGACTTTGAACCATTGCGATTTTAAACAACATATTCACCGATTCGCTTTTGTTCTGCCAAAAACTCTCGACGTCTGAAATGAAATTGAACCAAATTTGTACACATATTGATAGATGAAACAAGAATCGAAATTTGCCGATCGTATTTTGACTAGATCTCTAATTTATAGATCAAAACATAAAAACAGTTTTCACTCAATAACAGTTTATCCCCAAATGTAAATAACTATGAGAATTGGAGTGACAACTTGACATTGGCAAGCCGTGTTCGCCAAGTGCATGTTCAATAATGCGATAGTGACAGATTGGAGAAATGTCGAACGAATTTTTCAATATTTTGGAAGCTACGTTAATGTTGGACTTCATCATAAAATAAATAGTGAATCAGAAACTATAAAAGTGATGCCGGGTGACGAACTACGAGTAGGATCCGTATGCAAATATTTGGGTGCATCTGTTAGTTGATGCAGCCACAAAAAGAATTTTGTCCACAACTGAGGCCGTAGCTTCCAATACAGTCATTAAATAACTCATTTGGATAAACGCTTATTGAGGTGAAATAACGAATTTAAATGATATTTCAACACTTTTTATGGACAGTGCCAAAAAACGGACTTAAGAAATCCAAGCACTTAGAGACACGATTCCATTTTGTTGGAGATAAGTTTCACAGAAGTGTTTTGAAAATTCAGTGTGCAGTGAGAAGCGAATTGCTGATATAATGAGTGTCAAATTTGAAAGTAGGCGGAAGATGTTGGTACTTCAATTGGGTTGAGCTCCTTAATTGAAAAGTGAAACTTGTACCAAGGTAAGTCATAAAAAAAGATATACAACTTCATAAATACAATCTC